TAGTTGGCCTGGCCACAAAGGGAACAGAATAGTAGTACTGACCCTGCATAAGAAGATACCCGACGAACAGGATACTAACACACACCTGTGACGTGTTAATTCCTCGCATGCCTTGTAAATAATTATTCTTCATAGCTTGTTGACGTTCATACCTGGTATTGGTCACCTCTAAGGTTTAGGTCCGCTTGCAAACCAGCCAATTTTGCTGCTGCAATGTTGTTGCGATCCAGATAATTCAAGATGTACATAATCAACATCATGATGAGCAGCCTGATATCAATCTTCCTAACTAGCTTTGCCTCCCGTCGCTGTATCTCTTCTGGAGTCAGATCTTGCAACGATGTTGGCACAGTAACAGTGCCCGAGCCCTTTAATGTGTCCCCCATCTCGGGGAATTCGATATGTTCGGCCCCTGAATTCTTGACATTATCCATAGAAGGCAATTGGGTGATGAAACAGGAGCACTTGAGAGTAGTAAACTGAGATCTGCAGCGGCGAGTATGTTTGCCGGACGAGAGCCATGGAAGCGATGAGAGCGGTTGTGGGTATTCCAGCTTGTCCTTAAATGCTGGAGGATTCTGGAGCTTGGACTATTTCTGCACCGAGCTACCCCGTGGGGTGGTGAACAACCAACCGGGTTCGAGGACGGGGCTCTCTTCGGATATCTCAGGCGGGGTTGACGCACTTGGCAGCGGGAGCAAACAACCTGCCATATCCAGTGCATATCCGATGATTTTCCGGACTGAAGGGTCTGAGGACCAGGGGAAGATGGGTTGCTTCTACAACAAACCCAAGCCAGGGTAATGTATGCTAAATTTTCCATTATACGTTCGGTGTCAGAACTGAGATCACTGGCAAACAACCAGAATGCACGATAGAGAAAAGAAGCATAATTCAATGGTATTGTGCTGGCTAGCACAGGTTACAACTTTTATTACTCTTCTATCTTGATCCTAGCACCGTTATCCCCTTTGCCAAATCCTAAGAACATTGTGTGTATACTGGAAGGGAGAAAGAGGCTTCTCGCTACCTTTTTAAATGGGGAACTAATTACTTTACATGAAAGGGTACACGGAAGAACATCACTCCTTCTGGTTTGCGTCCAAAAATTCCAGCAGTCTTTGCGCAACAGCAGATGGTTGCTCTTCGGGGAGGAAGTGGCCACAATCGTGAATAGCGCCTCCAGAAACATTGGCCGCGAACTTCTGAACCAAATCGATCATACCTGCACCAACCGAGCTCTCTCCACCCAGAGCTAAGACAGGAATATCAAGTGGTGTCTTTGCGAACTCCAGATTCTGCTTCGAGCTCGTCTCAAAAGACCGATAGTACTCGAATCCTCGACTCATGGCTCCTGGTCTTGAATAGGCTTGAATATAGCGTTCAAAATGATCTTTGTGCATACCATCGGGATGAACGGTCTTCAAATTGAAAAACCAGGTCAAGAGCTCCCGCTCACGACCGCTCGTCAGGATTTCAGGTAACTCGGGAAGCGCGTTGAAGGAGAATTGCCAAAGACGCAAATTGGTCTGCTGAGACAATGGGAACTGAAACTGAGGCAAGAAACCCGGCACTGATGCATCTAAGATACTGAGCGATTTGATTCTCGATTGGAATTGAGCAGCCCAGGGATACGCGATCCATCCGCCCACATCATGGCCAATTAGATGATACGGTTGTTCTTTCAAAGCGTCGTGAATGGCTTCGGCCATGATCTTGCTCACGTTCGCGGTATCATAGCCATTGACAGGAGGAAGAGAATCGCCCAAGCCTGGGGGGTCGAGTGCAAAGAACCGGTAGTTTTTGGAAAGTGGCTCAAACATGTCACTCCACGCTTCTGCTGTTTGTGGCCAGCCGGGAATGAGCACCACAGGAGGACCTTGACCGCCGACGATGGCTCGGACCCCGTGCAGGAGACGGGTGACTTGCCACTTTGCCGTCATTATGTAAATGTTTGTCGGGTTAAGTGACGAGATAAAGATTTGAATGGCGTGTATTTGTCGACCAGGTTAAATCCACCGGCATTCAAATAAAATTTTACCTGGGCACTGAACCGTCCTGATTATATTCTGGTCATGAGTCACGGAGACTTCGATGAGTCAAGGCAAGGGGATGATGCTAAAATCTCATATCTACCGATACTAACTGTATTCAGGTTAGGGTATAGCGCAAGTCCAATATTTGATTATAGAGGACAGATCTCCGTTACATAACGATCCGTTTCGAACAAAGTCAGTAACTACCCATTGCAACTTGGAAATAAGGATTATGAGATAGACAGATTATTAAGATATCATATACAATGTTTCTTTTTTCTTTCACTGGCGTTGCCAGTCTTCGGCGGAGTGGGTCCCACAACTTGCCTGTAACTTACCCCGCCGGCACATAAAGCTTAGCTGGTTAGCCTATTCGGCAAGATGGGTCGAGGTAGGTCAAAAGCTATCCTCGCGAGGAAACTCAGCGTCTTGATTCTTTCTCCGACCCGCTCATTTCTGGCATCGGTAAAACCCCCGCAGAGCCGGAGTCACTCCACCACCGATTGCACTATGTTTACTTTCTGTGGGCTATTACACACAAATAGACTTTCCTAAAGGTAACAAGGGCGTGAAAGTTCTAAGATATTATACCCAATGAACAAGGTGAGGTAGTTGTTGCTAAGTTTGATTGATCGACCCAAGCTATGACAGGAGCCAATAGCAGTGAATAGAACGCGTCAGCCCAGGAGGTACTAGATGATGTGCCACCTGCAATTTGGCTGAAGCTGTAGTCTAAACTTGGCTAAATCCGACCCATTCGACAGGCTTCTCCGGCTACTTTCGGCACTTTTCCGAGACGCTTTGAGCGAGGACCTCAAACCCAACGTGGGTGCTTGTGTCGGCCCCGGAAGGATCAAGTAGAACATAGTACCGGTCACGATCATCATGATTTGAAATATCTCTGTGATTGCTATTGACCGTAGACCACCAATTAAGAAAGAAACACTGATGGGCGTGGATCCCATACCAAGAATGTCGATGGCTGTTTGCATGTATCTTCAGAGATAGTTCTTGGAATGACAAACGAGATCTCACGGGGTATTTGGCAGCACCAGCTCTACCTACCCAGAGGTCAAGCTAAGAAGAGAGCAGAAACCTAACAGTATTTCCAGAAGGAATCAATCCGAGCTATGGGACAGGATATGTAGGAGGGATGATAATGCATATCTTACCACATCACCCGTGACTAGTCTGCATTTCAGCCGAGCATATCCTTCAACACTAATGTATCGGTAATGAAGCAGGACATCATGTATGCATTCCTTTAGGTCGAGAAATCTACTGTCACTTTACTCATGACTTGGAAGAAGCGAATCTTTAGCGAGACAGACACTCTGGTGATTTAATATTATCTCTGTATATAGCGTGGCCAAGCAATGGCCCATGCAGATCATACCAGACCTATGTAGCATTGAGCATTGGTAGGCTTGTCATTACGCAGTCTAAGGCAGCCCGCTATACCTTGCTACACTTGCTCCGGCCTGCATTGGGGCTGTGGTGCACTTGGCCTTTTGCATGTACAGTTACTATGTAGTCTTTTTTTATGAATGATCCCTTGAAATGCCTCATAGTTGCATTTATAATTTGCCATTGGAAATTCCCAGAAAAGCAGAGAAGGTCCAGGGTGTTCAGCATAGCGCAACAGCAATATATGCTATAAGAAGCGAGAATCTTGATGATCATATAAAGGGTATATGCTCCCCCAGGCCACGGCGTCATGTATGAAGCGGTCCAAGTATCATCATACTCCCTCCCAGGGTTTATTTTCTGTATCTGTCTTGGGCTCCTAGGACCCGTACACATGATGCGTAGTGATATGGGTTCCATCTTCTGTCTTGAAATCGACAGTCAAATGCTCTTTCGGGTCATTGTTATTTGAGCGCCATGTTCCACTACCTAGCATTAGCTAAAGCAAACGAAAGAAGAGATGGGCTTTACTCAGGAGTCGATCTGACTTGTGCTTCGTGCACCCCACGATTTCCTAATCTCTTAGCATGCGCAGTCACTGACTCGTCGGCCGAGGGGCTTTTTTGATAGACTTTATTATAGGTGATCTTCTTGAGGGGCATCTTGGAATGGTAAAATGAGAAAGAATTCTTCTAAATAAAAGAATAATAGTATATGACAAGCTTGATGAAGATCGAGCGGCACAATTACTTGGGCCCTGAGATTGTATGCTTGCATCTTTTCTCCTGCCTATATACTGCACATTGCTTCCTCAACTACCAACATGGGGTGCTTTGTGCCCCTCGAGTAAAAATATTTTGGGGACTTTTATTGCACTATCATGTACATCCCGCTGTAGGTTAAGCTCCATTGACTAGCAGAGGATTGCACTCAAGATAGCAGCCTATCATCAGTGGTAATCGGATTGTAGGGACAATGAAGAGCGAGGAAACCATGGATACCATGCAGTTCACTTACTACATATAGTAAACCTGCTTGCGTCTGATTGATAGTTCGCCTAATTTCTTTGTGCTCAGATAGAGTCACGACTTGTAGTAAAAGGGGAGCGAAGCTGAAAGAGCGCGTGTTTCAAGTTTGGTATTTTGAAAAAAGAGTATCAGAGCGCTTTATGCTCGAGTACAAATTTAGCAACCAGAGAATATCTAGGCGATATTGCTTTTTGGACATGGCGAAAAATCACGTAAGAGTTGCATTGGGATTAGCTGGTCAACAGTAGAGGATTTTTTGTCACAGCTAGGTAACTTGTTAATAACTCGTTGTTCATTGCTTGGCCGTCGAGATAAGTTATGTAGCCAGTCACTTAGTGCGAGCATTTGGTTAGCAGCTACTGGTTAATATACACATTCAGCCTTGTTTGACCCAGGAAACGAGGGACCTCAGGACTGTGTGCATGTGACCTGTGTGACCAAGCATCAAACACGACAGATTCTCTTTCCGCCCAAACTCTGAGCTCAACTTCTCTGTCGTCCTCGAGCAACACCTGTCAACTGCACTATCATGGCTACTGTGAGCGGTTCTTTCAGTGCTGACACCAATATCATTCTTGATATTGGAGAAATCTTACACGAACGATATCGAGTACTACAGCAACTGGGTGCTGGGCGCTATTCAGCTATCTATCTAGCGCGGGACCAGAAGTACGCTTTTCCTACGCCATGTAAAACACACAGAAACTTAAGTTTTTTATAGGGAACTATCTTACAAGGCAATAAAACTATTGAGGGAAGATTGCTATGACGGAAAACATGATCTCTTTGAGTTAGAGATACTGAAGCACTTACGCGAGGCGGATCCCAATCATCCAGGCTAACAGCACATTACTGTCCTCCTTGATGACTTCACCTACATTAGCCGGTCGGGTACTCAGCATGTCTGCCTTGTAATGGAGCCAATGGCAGAAGACATGAAGACCTTCCCCCTTTTCTTTGAGGGTGCCCGGATACCTAACCACATCATGAAGAAAGTAACGAAACAATTACTATCTGCCCTGGACTACGCACATGCTTGTGGTGTCATCCACACAGGTAAGTCTATATGCTAATTGATCTAATAAGACATTCGTGTTGACTCTCACTTGCCCAGACATCAAAGAAAGTAACATTATGGTGAAATTCCGAAATCCAGCTATAATCGATAGGTATTTGGAAGATTCCTTGGCAAACCCAGCTGCCGATCTTGGAGAGTACAACTTCGATGATGCTTCTGAGTTGGTTCAGGCGGATGTTGTACTAGGTGACTGGGGATCGGCGAGTTGGGTCGAGAAGCATCTGACAGACTTCATTCAGCCTACATTACTTCGTGCGCCCGAGGTTATACTTGGGGCACCCTGGGGAACCAAGGCAGATATTTGGAATCTAGGTGTCCTTCTACCCGAGCTCCTGGATGCCTTACGCATGTTCAATGGTAGGGCGGATGTTACAGGTGGTGTTTACCTTACCAAGCACCACCTTGAGGAAATCGAAGCCCTGTTTGGTCCCTTTCCTCCCGAATTGTTGCAATCTGGAGATCCACAAATTGTTCAACAGTTTTTCGACAAGGAGTTCAACTTCCGTAATTGGACCCAGAGACCACCAGCGGTACTGGAGAGATGGATTGAGAGTATTGATGGCCCCGAAAAAACCAATTTCCTTTCAATGATACGCTCTATGCTGGTTATCGATCCAGAACAGCGAATGACCGCACTTTCTCTTCAAGATGCGCCGTGGCTTAGTACATAGAATTAAATCTTGATGCATACCTCAGATCAGGGGTCAAGGTCAGACTCAATTGCGAGGCTTCATGTGTATTACTCAGTAATATAAATGAAAACCATGTATAAGGTCAGCTACCATTGCGGATAATCGGTAAGCACTTGTGGCCTGGAAGGGAATAGTCCGAGTTCTACCCCGCAAACCTTCTGTTACCGCTTCCTTTGCTGATCAACAGCTCCCTGTTAGTCGGATATGTAAAATGCCAGTCCCTCCCCCGGAAATAAGTGATCGGATAATTCTTCGACCAGCGACTGATCAATATTCCATATGGAGGTGCGAAACAGTCCAGCAAGCAAACGGCGGATTTCTAAGAAGCGCGTCCGAGTTACGCGGGCTTGTGATGCCTGCAAAAGGTGAGCCAATGTTGGGAGCCTTCACCTTTAAGGGCAAGCTTACACAATAAACCCAGGAAGAAACTGCGCTGTAGTGGGACATTACCCTGTCCGACGTGCCTTAAAGCTAACAAAGCGTGCGAGTACACAGCCGAGTATAACAGGGGCAAGCCCCCTCAGGTCCGCATCGCTCAGCCATCAGTACAGGGCAATGAACAGCAACAGAAAGCTGCAGCCGAGGGGGGCAGGCCACCTCCTTCACCATATGCGCATATTCTGGAGCGCTATAACATGCCCGACAGCCAGATAGACAATCCGCCCTCTCGCGCCTCGCCTGAGCATCAAACGGACTTGGAGGGCCATTATGTCGGTCCTTCGTCAGGGGTATCCTTTCTCCTCCGAGCGCAGCGGAGGCTCCACAAATATGTCGCGTTGCCAATCAACACGCCGATATTCACGTTCGGAGATTCTCCACTCCCGGAGGTTGAGTCGACCTTCATGCTATTGCCTCGCCGGAACGAGGCCAATGCGCTCTTGGCCCGGTACTTTGACTTCGCCTTTCCCACACATCGCTTTCTCCATCAGCTCCAGGTTGAGGGCTGGGTTGAAGAATTCTATCGCGCTGTGCAAGAGTCGGAGGCAGTCAGTCCCGGCATGCGGGGAAGAAGGGCAGTGGTTCTTATGGTCTTCGCTCAGGCAAGACAAGGCCAGCCTGACAGGGACCCGTCGTCCGTCCGATCTTTGATTAGTAGGTTCGCTGGCACGGAATCCTTTCCAACAGATTTAATCATCTCACGAATGGCCAGTGCGGGCTACTTTACAGCCTCGGAGCAACAGCTCTCCGCCGAGACGGGACCCGTGCGAATAACCAGCGTTCAGGCACGGCTGGCCCAGTGTTTCTATCTTCTGTCTCAATCTCGCATCAACCACTGTTGGAGTTTGTTCGGAACGACTGCCCGACTTGCCATGACCATCGGTTTGCACCGTGCAAGAAGACGTGAGTATGGTGCCAAGGTCGATCATATCGAAGCAGAAAGTCGGAAGCGCGTCTTCTGGTGTGCCTACAGCTTAGATAACTATCTGAGTGCTGCTTTGGGCCGCCCTCGGATATTTCACGATGATGACATTGATCAAGACTTTCCTACTGTTGCTGATGACTCGTGGATCCTCAGAGACCGAATCGTCACCCCCGTGTCGACGACCCAGAGTATAATGCTTGCCCCACTTTACCATGCCAGGTTGTCCGTCATAATTGGTCGCATACTCCATGACATTTATGGAGTTCGCAGAGGTGGCTTACAAGCGGAAGTATCTGCCGCCGCTCAACACGGCGCTGAACTTATCAGTTGGCGTCAAGAGATTTCCAACTTCCTCGACACCCCGAATGTGGATCTTTTGATGTTGACGTACCAACGCCAATACACAGTGCTGAACTTGGCCTTCTATCACGCACAAATACTGCTCTACAGGCCGTTTATTCTGCGCAATTTTGGGATCATCAGTCCCGAAAGTCCACGAGATTGCCCATCCAATAAACCTGTCGACGATTATATCGAGATTTGCCTTGACGCGGCCATGAGGATTGCCGCGATTATCCGCGAGCTTTGCGAGAAACGGCGGATGTATAACACATTCTGGGTACGTAGCGATTATTTCTTCGCTGGTAGTATAAGCTGATTTCGGACAGTTTACACATTACTACGCGTTCTCAGCAATTATGATTCTGTATTTCCGAGTCATCCAGCTGTGTGCCCAGAGAGGCAATGTAGAGGAAGTATGCCTCAAATATCTGCGGACAGGGGAGTGCGCCCAGCAAGATCTCGCTAGCTGTAGCTCCCACTCGTCTTTCGTACAGCGCTACGTCGTCGTTCTCGAGGAGCTTCGCCAAGAGGCGCGAACGGCCGTCAATCAGCCTGTACCCCATGATCATAGGATCTCACACATTGGGGCTCCACACTACGAGGAAACAATCCTCCCGGGTGAACCTACACTGAATCAAATCGAGATAGCTGGCGGACCACGGAGTGGCAGCCTGGTACCTCCTATGATGGAAGGCAATCTTTCCCAATGGGAACAGGATTTAACTGACGATGGCTTTACTGTGCCTGGCCTTTCAGGATCTGCAGAATGGGAAGGAATCGACTCCTTAGCTATCGCAGGACTGGGGGAGTTAGACTACCTGTTCCCTCATGTAGACCATCCTGAAAAATAGCACTCCTGGCCCTGGCTCATGTATTGACAGAAACGCGTTGATGGAAATTTTTGTAATAGCCCCGCAGTGCCTTTTTATATATATCCATCTTGAGCTACTTAGTCAGAAAGACATATCAGTGAGCTATCCCAGTACTCACAGAAGCTTTATTTATTCCCAAATATTTGCCAAGGCTATGTTATGGTCTTTCACATTTCCGACTCCAGCTCGACGGCTTTTCCGTGTGGCTTCGTTTCCGCCCGAGAGTCCGGAAAACAAAAAGTCGGATAAGTCTACATGGCCGAGGCAATACCCCTATTAATCTCATCGAAAGATCTTTAGCTTGCAATTTTACTCTGAAGACTTTGCGTGATCTCTAATCATCCAGTTTCGTTCTCATGATGTCTAACATGCAACTTTACCATCGTTCATTCTGTTTGAATCGTCGGTCGCATAACGAGAAATGTAGCTTCATCAAATTCCATGTCATGCTTCTCCCTCGTAATCGGTTACTTCGCACTCAATCACGCTTTCCACCCCAGCACCAGCGCTCCAGATCTGTACGATCCTCAGACCAGTTCGTCTCTCAATCAAGTCATACCACGCGGCCCGAGTGCGCTGCTCAGAGGAGAACAGCCCCAACATCATCATATCAAGCCCGGTTATTTCCCAGTAGGCCCCGGTCTCCGGAACAACAAATTCATTTATCAAGAGCCTGCTATATCCAGGTCTCATAGCATCCTTGACACGCTTAAGTAATGTTTCACATACATCGTCACACCAGTTATGTAAAGTTGAGTGTATGTAGTAGGCTCGAGCGCCTGGATATATACAATCCATGCATTAGCCCAAACGTGATATGAGAAGAAGTGAAAAAGACCGAACGCACCTTTAACAGGTTGCTCATCCCGAAAATCATACTCCATACACACAATCGATGAATCTAAATCCATAATTTGGCGAACCATCATGGGCAAGTCTTGGAGGATAAGCTTCCCGGGCGCATCTGGAAATGCAGCGCGGAATCTTTCCAGATCGTGGCCTACATTACCGCCGATGTCCACAAGAAAAGGCGCATCCGGACTAGGATCAGCGCCGTGAATGAGCCTATCCTTCACAGGATAGACATCAGGATGGATCCACCATCGGCGACCGAGATTGTAACCGCCTAAGTAATCATTTAGGTGCTTTCCATAACCTAACTCATTTACCCAGCTGAACAGGTCCCTGTCAGTGCCGTAAGCATTCATCAAAGATGTGTCCTCAGGGTTAGTTGGATTTGTCCATCCACGCTTGCGAGAGAATTCATGGAATTTCAGGCAGCCAGCACTGGTACATGAAGTGCTAGTGCGCAACGGAATAGCTACATTAGCGGTTACATTATTAAGGGCTATAAGTGTAGAGTATACTCACAGACCGAGATATCCATTTCCAATTTGAGGAAGACTAAGGGCTTTGGTATAATTAGTGGGCTGGTACTCGTCCTCACCGACCTCATTGAGGAGACCCATGGCGCTGAGGTGGCGCATGAGACGACCCGGTGATAAGTTAGCGAGGTCCGTAGCACTGATTGAGGTGGCACATACTGAGAAGTTTCGGTTCGATTCCTAGGCTTGATGCCAGGTCTGAGACCCTCTGCGGTTTATCTCCATTCTGGGCCATTAAGACCCACAATCCTGAGTCCACACCAAACCCTACTGCCATCATAGCTCCGATCTATTGCGATCAGTACCCTCCTAGATATATTAAAAATTGAGGCGCTTACCTGGCCCCAACAGTGATCAGCCATGATGTCTCGAGGGGTCGATAAAGCTAGGAATAACTGTCGACATTTGTATATAGCAGCTTTGCGAATTCCATCGGAATCAGTACCCAAGCGTTTAACATCTTCTGCGATTTCACTCAATAACTTGGGAGTTTCATCAAGATTGCTAGGACATGAAGCGACTGAGATGTCTACAGTAGTTGAATCTTGCACTCTGTTGTCTGCGTCCATTTTTACTGATACGGCTAAAGAAGGGAAAGGACGCCCAACGAGGCGCTTATATGAAGAGGGGTTAATGCAAGGGTCTGCTTGCCGCCTTTGAAGTAGCCAGGGTATGTTGGAAAGCACAGAGAGAGAACAGCGTCGTTCTTAGGAACCCCTGTCCTATTTGATGGACATTCTAGCCGAATTTGGCAATCCCATGCAGCATCATACATATCCTGGATGTGAGCCATACACCTCTATTACAACAGCATCCGCGGTATTCCCAGGTCTCGATTGCGGGTCAGCTGTCACTTACCACAACGTGCGAACATATCGATATTATAGATTCTATCCCGATTTGAGGGAAAGTTATCTTGCTCCTAAGAAGTCCGTTGGTCAGTCTGACAACACTTGACAGGTTTCAACTGCTCGGAATACAATGTTCCCATTCAGGGAATCCAACTCGTATTGGTCTTATGACCGGCCATTATCGGACATAGCTCGTACTACCGCTGCCTTGATATATTGTTCTAATTTGCAGGGATCCGCCTGCGAACTGGTGACAAGTACTCTCACTCCATGTGCAATTGCTATTAAATGCAATACTTCATATGCCAAATATAAGGAACTAGTAAGCTGTAGACCTATGTATCGATACCAAAAATGTTCAGCTCTCCATCATTTCCCGCAATCTCCACCAACCACGTCATGCCACTTATGAAAAATGTTCTCCGGATCATACCTAGTCTTCACCATCCTCAGCCTCTCCAAATTGTCTCCATATGCGTCATTAGGCTTCACCGGCTCGTTCTCCATATTTAGATAACGCCCCACTGGCCCTTTCTCAAGATGGTCCCCTTCACCGTGACGTTGACGCTCATATCCGTTGACATTCCGTATCGTCGCGCATAACTTAGCATTGAATTGACGAACAGTAGCATCCAAGCTGGGATCGGTCCATCCAAAGATGGTAACAACATCATAGTACGCCCCGCGATTGGCGTATACAGTAGCATGCTGGGGTACTTCGCGTAGCTTGTGGGTGGAGAAAAGTTCCACTGCCATAGAGCAAACAGTAACATTCGGATGGCCATCATGGAACGACCAGACCATATCCGCCATTCGCTGAAAAGCTTCTATTTGCAGGGGCATCGTGACATTCGCAGAACCTTGGTGACGGCGCATCCCGTACTCGCACAATGGGTTTTGTAAGGTGTTGACCTCGGCGATGGACATCATTCTAGTTGAGTCCATGATAGGTCTCATGTTTAAAAGTCCTGAGAAGTAGCTCTTGGCTTCCCCATCCGAACCCTGATAAAGTGGGACAGCAGTGAGGATACGTGTCGTCCCATCCAGCGTGTGGCCCACGCCGATAGTCAAGCAATGACCTTCGCGATTATCTCGATTGTGGAACTCATTGGCGAATGCCACAAGTTCGGGTAGGGAGTCCGGTGCAAAGGCGAGGATCCCGCTCCATACCTCTTCCTGGTGGTGGACGCGGTACAGAAATCGCGTTACGACGCCAAGCTGCGCCCCAGCTCCACGGACGGCCCAAAACAGGTCTGCATTTTCTGTTTCAGAGGCGTCAAGGATGCACCCATCGGCAGTAACGATCTGGACTGCTATGAGATTGTCGATCGCGAGGCCATGCTTCGCTGTCAGCCATCCATGGCCACCACCTAGGATTAAACCCCCTACCCCGGTGTGGTTGACTGCACCCCCGACGGCAGCTAATCCGCGGGAGTTTAATGGCTTGTCAATCTCGGCCCACAGACATCCGCCCTCAAACAACACAGTCATGTTAGTCTCATCCACTTCGACCTCTCGCATATTTCCGAGATGTATGAGCATGCCTTCTGATGATGAAGCCCCGCTAGTCGAGTGACCACCGCCACAAACAGCCAGGGAGAGCTTGCTGGCGGAGGCAAACTTCACCGCCGCAGCTACCTCTTCAGCACTAGTCGATTTGACTACCACGTCCTAGAATGAGTCAGTATGGTCCCAGAGAGATATGATGAAAGTGGTAATCAGGAGATCGGGGGCTTAACTGACAGACTTCACTTCAGCCGCCTTACTCCATCTCCTAAGGGTGGCAGCATATCCATCATCATCCGGCATCAAAACTTCACCATTTGAAATGGCTTTGTATATTTCGTTCCATTCAGGCATAACTGAGAACCAGTAGTGTAACTCGAATGTTGAGCTTGAAGGAGTTAGGAGGTATGCTAGTGCGACCTTTAGTGCTTTTTGTGGGGTGGGTGTGTGAGCCAACTGAAGCCTGCCGGAGTATGTCATCGAAATCTTCTGCAGGTCTATCCCTGGCATCGTTCAGATGCATGCGAATCCGTTGTGGTAAACTCCTTGCTCCTAAGTACTAATCTTCCCAGCCGGCAGAGTCAGCATGTGCAACCGAATTTCCGTCTTTGACTGGTGGCATGACTTCTCATGACAAAGGACTTATACTGTGCACCCTCGCTTCTTAAGTTATTGACAATGTAATTGACGAAAAGCAAGGTCGAAGAACCCCTTTCTATCCAGGTTTGCTGAAATGCTAGGAGGGGCTCATTCAGCAAAGTATCAGGTGAACTTGTTATTGGACAATACGAAAAGGGCTGCAGTAGTCAGATATATTCATTCTTTCTTCCTTGATACACTTTGAGCAGGGATTATCGCTTTGTCGCTGACGACCAGCTATGCAGTGGTTTGCACCTAGTCCTTCGTCATGTACGTTTAGCGTCTGCATTGCGCATCTATTCTTCGAGAGAGTTGATCCTATCAGTTGCTGACAGTTACGAGGGGCAGACATATATGTTGTATGATGCTACTTGATAGTCACTTGATCCGCCCGACAGAATTTGTTCCTGCGCTTTCTCTGGATAAAATCGGTACTTGTACACTGTGCGACAATCTAAAAGAATTATCCAAGCGCTTGGTATGCGACTTTACTTGCAAAATCGGCATGAGTCTGCGAACTCAAGTAAGACAGGAATGATAGAAACATCCATTCCTATTTTGGTGTGACCTAGAAGACGAAAAGCGAGAAACCCCCCAATAAAATTACCGCTTCACCACCATTACCGCAATGTCAAGCGCGACACGAAAACCCGATAGGAAAGATACCGCCGCATCGAGCTTCCAGGACATACCGGAAGGGGACCTGAGAAAGATTTGGCAATGGAACAAGATATGCCCACCACCAATCATCCGCTGTGTCCACGACATATGCGAAGAAAAGGCACGAGGGCAAGTTGATGCACTGGCTATTTCTGCTTGGGATGGCGAATTGCACTACGGAGAGTTGATCCAGCTCGCCACGAAACTAGCAAAATGGCTCATTCTTTTTGAAATACGACCTGGCATGATTGTGCCTCTCTGCTTTGAGAAATCGCTGTGGACAACTGTAGCTATGCTGGGTGTGCTCAAGGCTGGTGCGGCATTTGTTATGCTTGATACATCACTCCCCAAACAGCGTCTCCACGCCATTGTTGAAAGCGTAAACGCAAATATGATCTTATCGTCTGTTTCAAGCAACACACTCGCGGCATCATTGGCTGAGACCGTCGTTGCCATAGATTCGACCTTCTTCTCGGCGATGAATAACCTGGAAGGACAAGACCCGCCACCAGTCGACCCATCGTCACTCATGTACTTAGCCTTTACATCAGGTTCCACGGGCTCACCAAAGGGATTAGTAGTAACGCATACCAATTATGCATCATCTCTCCATTACCAACTGCCACTCCTGGGGTTTACTAAGAAAACCAGATTCTACGACTTCTCTTCCAATGGCTTTGATGCTTCACTCAGCCACACGTTTACGATCCTCGCCGCAGGAGGTTGTTTATGCGTGCCATCCGAGCAAGACCGGAGAAATAGCTTGGCTGAAAGCATAACGTCTCTCCGTGCAAATGCTATCGGGCTTACCCCATCAGTTGCCAGGTTGCTGAGCCCTGCTGACACCCCAACATTAGCAACGCTCTTGTTATTCGGCGAGGCTTTGCGTGTCAGCGACGTTCAACGCTGGTGGGATAAAGTGAGGATCAGCAATATATACGGACCTAGCGAGTGCACTCCCTACGCTGTCATCAACAACAGCGCGGCGAGTCCACAGGAGACCACTCGACTAGGCAAAGGTGCAGGACTAGTGACATGGGTCGTCGATCCAGACAACCACGACCGTCTACTACCCCTTGGCGAAACTGGTGAGCTACTTCTAGAAGGACCACTAGTGGGCGAAGGGTACTTGGAAGATGCAGAAAGAACCGCACGAGTGTTTATCCAGGACCCAGTATGGCTACGACAAGGTGGACCCAATCATCCAGGACGATGCGGACAACGTTTGTACAAAACAGGGGATCTTGTCCACTACAACAACGATGGAAGCCTGACCTATGTCGGTCGCAAGGATACGCAGATTAAGATTCACGGGCAGCGAGCGGAACTCGGAGAAATAGAGTTTTGCTTGGAGCAGCATTTGCCAGAAGCCAAACAGGTTATAGTTGAGACAATTACAGTCAAACAGGAGGAATCAAGCACAGTGTTGGCAGCTTTCATTCTGCCACGTCAGACCTCGGCCAATACCGAGGGACCGGAAATGACTTCTACGGAGATATACCATGTGCCCCTTGATGTCATACAGGTACTAGGTGAGACCCTGCCAACATATATGATACCGTCTTTTTTCCTGTCCACACGTGAATTCCCCAGAACCATATCAGACAAGTTGGACCGGAAAAAGCTGCGGGAAATAGGTACTTTGTGGTTCCAGCAATGCGTTAAGGATGAAAGCCACGTGGGTAAGACAAAACCAACATCTCACGTGGGAATTGAGCTCCAAAGAATCTGGGGGGACGTTCTATGCATTGACTCGGTATCAGTCGGGCTTCAAGATAATTTCTTTCGGTTAGGAGGTGACTCTATTGCAGCAATGAAGGTCGTGTCCAAGGCTCAACAGGCTGGTCTCGGGCTGACGTTTTTCGAGGTCTTCCAGTATCCCACGCTCGCTAATCTGGAAGGTCGGTGTCGCCTTGAGCGTGCTAGACCCGTTGAACCGATTTTGCCTTACTCTCTTTTGGGAAGTGGGTGGAATGAAGCAATCTTTCAGGAGATTGTGGCCTATTATCAGCTGGATCCCGATACAGTGGAGGACGCATATCCTTGTACACCCCTACAAGAAGGTCTCTTGTATCTATCATTACAAAATCCAGGTACATACATGATGCAGCGAGTTTTGGAATTGCGTCCGGATATAGATACGAGAGAATTCTGTTGCGCATGGGACAAATTGGCCCAAAGTACGCCCATCCTACGAACAAGGATCATACAACATAGCGACATTGGTTTCTTGCAGGTGGTCCTGAGGGAGGCCATGCAATGGATTCATGCAAAAAGTCTACAGCAATATCTTGAGAAAGACAAAGCAACTCCCATGGGCCTCGGAAAGCCTCTCGTGCGCTGCGCGTTTGTCACAGACAAAAAGGCCGATCGCCGTTGGTTTGTGTTGACCCTTCATCATGCTGTATACGATGGCTGGTCAATGTCACTGTTGCTGCAAAGGCTAAGCTATGCGTATAATGGCATGCCCAAGAGACTTACTCAACCAGAGTTTAAGGCCTTCATCAAATACATCCAGAGCCAGAGTAACGAACGCGCTGTTGATTACTGGAGGGATAACCTTGCTGAATGTGACTGCGAACCATTCCCAACTCTTCCGTCGTCAGTAAAGCGGGTGAAGACCGACAGTGAAATAAAACATAAAGTATCATCTACAAACATACATACACTAGGCGTTACGCCCGCTTTACTTGTCCGTTCAGCCTGCGCTCTCCTCCTCAGTCACAGGATCAACTCAGACAAAGTAGTGTTTGGGATTACCACATCAGGCCGAAGCGCTCCTATTACTGGTATCGAGGAGATAGTAGGCCCAACAATTGCGACGATCCCACTCTACGTCAAGATACAGCAGTCACAAACCGTTATGGAATACCTTGAAAGCATTCAGCGGCAGATGACGACCATGATCCCATTTGAGCAGTTCGGTTTGCACAAAATTGCCAAAATCAGCTCGGATGCTCGTCAGGCTTGCAAATTCCAGACTCTTCTCATTATTCAATCCGAGGAATTTGCAAAAGCTGATGATACTTTCGGGGTGTGGGAAAGGTGGCAACAGCCGGAGTGGGACAACACTTACGCTCTTGTATTGGAGGTGCAGCTTGGGACAGGACATGTCAGCGCCAGATTCGATTCCAACGTGATCAAACCGTGGATCGTCCAGGACTTACTACAAGGACTCGAATTTGTGATAGAGCAGCTCCGCAAAGCACAATCCGACAACCGAATCACGGATATTCCCTCAGTGCCCCCCGAGAGTCTCGAGCGCATATGGGGTTGGAATAACATCGTCCCATCCCCAGTCAAAGCAACTATCAATGATATGGTGGAGAAGCAGGTAGAAGAACAGCCGACCGCAATAGCAATACATGCGTGGGATGGAGACCTAACATACGGTGAGCTAGATCACCTCGCTACGAACCTGGCAACCAAGCTCGATCATCTTGGAGTCGGTCCATCCCTACTGGGCACGAATTATGTGGTTCCACTTTACTTTGAGAAATCAAAGTGGGCCATAGTATCCATCCTCGGGACTCTCAAGACAGGTGCAGGCTTCGTATTGCTCGACTCGTCTCTACCAGACTCCCGATTGCGCTCTATCATTCAATCAGTCAGAGCCAAGATATTGCTCTCCTCCGAAGCCAACATGGATCTAAGCCGCCTTTTATCCAAGATGGTGATACAAGTGGGTCCAGACTTGTCCAAGGCTCCCTGCCATATGGAAGATCATACCAAAAACATTACGGGACAATCTCCACTGCCCTCCAGCCTACTATATACAGTTTTTACTTCTGGTAGCACGGGGACACCCAAAGGAGTCATGGTATCACACGAGAACTTTTGTTCTGCTCTACAATATCAATCGAAATTTTTGAACTATACGGTCAGCTCACGAGTCTTGGATGGTGCATCATATTCATTCGATGCCGCGATCCATAACATTCTAACCACACTTGTGGTTGGAGGATGTCTGTGCATACCATCGCAAGAGAGCTACAAGGGTGACATCGGCAGTGCCATAGCGGCTATGCGCCCTACCATTTGTAACTTAACACCGACAGTAGCGCGTCTGTTAAACCCGGAGAGGGCATACGACCTCGAGACGTTGATACTTCTGGGCGAGTCCGTTAAAAGGAGCGATATTGACCGGTGGCGGCCGAGCAATGTTCGAGTCATAAACGCCTACGGACCTGCTGAGTGCACACCGATTAGCACTATCAACGCTCGTCCATCCAACACAGATGAAGCAATCCGGATTGGAAAAGGCACAGGTGTGACAACCTGGATTGTACATCCCGAGAATCATGATCGGTTGGTACCGCTAGGATCCACCGGTGAATTACTCCTTGAGGGACCCCTTGTTGGCTTAGGCTATATGAACGACCCAGAAAAGACAGGAGATGCATTTGTGGAAGACCCCGAATGGCTGCTCACGGGCTCAACAAGTAATCCCGGCCGCCGTGGTCGTCTTTATAAAACTGGTGATTTGGTGCAGTACAACGAGGATGGAAGCTTATCATTCATGGGGCGCAAGGACAACCAAGTCAAGATACGTGGTCAGCGGGTGGAGCTCGGAGATATTGAGTACCATGTTTTGGCTTCCTTGCCAACGAAAGCGACTCAGGTCGTGGCCGAAGTCGTTGTACTGGAGGATGACGGGGAGCCGAAACCGGTGCTGGTAGCTTTTATCCACTCGGATAACAATGCTATTTCTTCCAGCAAGGAGACGACAGTCACTCCAAAGCCATACCAAATGACCGACGAGGTCATGCAACGGATTTCACGCCGTCTGTCTATTATTCCCGACATTTTTGTCTCCATGGGGAAACTTCCTCTAACGCCAACGGGAAAGATTGATCGGAAACAGCTTCGTGAGATAGGCCGGTCGCTTCTCTTGAGTGAAGGACACGTCTTCGATGGCACTTCCGACTCCTCCCTTAACAGTGATTACTCTCAAGGCAAATCTATACTGCAGAATGACCATCTTGCATATACCATCGCCCAGAAGGTGTATTCCATGCGTCCTTCGTGGGTGAAGAACAGAGATCCAAACGCACAAACGGAATACAAAGATATTTCTTTACACTCCTCTGGTCTGAACTCCGTCAATATGATGGAACTCACCTCATTTGTTTCACGCCACTTCAACGTCCAAGTCGACATGCAATATGTAATGGCCAAGACAACCACTATCAGAAGCCTAGCCGAGTACGTACTCCACTACCAAAAGAACGGTACTAGCCCTTCCACCGCCGAGCATACTTCCACTGGAGTCGACCTCATGAGAGAAATTAATCGACATGATTCTAGGGTTTGGGCTGCTCAAGAAACACTTTCAGGCAGAAATAGCCCAACTCTCAAGCATCCCTCAAGCCGTAGAGACAAGGGGTCATTCACCGTCTTCTTGACTGGCGCCAACGGTTTCCTGGGTACTCAAATCCTCCGCCAACTCCTATCCAACTCCAAGGTGAGCCGCGTCATCTGTCTCGTACGTGGTGATACAGATGCTGCTGCTAGACAGCGCATTATCAGTATGGCTAAAGAAGCCCTCTGGTGGACGGGCCATCACGCAGAAAAGCTCGAGGTTTGGCGAGGAGATCTAACATTACCAAAACTCGGACTTAACCCAACCCGCTGGGAAACTCTCAGCTCTGGTCGAACAGTGGATTATATCATACAGAACGGTGCTACCGTGCACTGGATGAAGGGCTACGACGTTCTAGAGGCTGCCAACGTCGGCTCGACCATGGAATTGTTGCAAGTGGCACTGAGATGTCCCAATATGAGATTCGTCTATATGACAGGTGGTCGCCCATGGAAAATCCATGAAGAGGAGGACGTTGTGGCGGAGCTGTCTGCTACCGATGCTATCCCCTATAGCCAGACGAAGTTGGTCTCTGAGGTCGTCGTCCGACGCGCTGCAACACGCAAAATACCGGGAAGCTCTACCCCCAACCTGCCAGGAAATATTGCTGTTATAAACCCAGGATGGGTCATCGGAACACCAACTGAAGGCTACTCAAATACTACTGACTATATATGGCGGCTGGTAGCAACATGCATCCGATTGGGTGTATACAACGGAGAGGACGCGGAGGGATGGCTATCCATTTCCGATGCTACTACCACTGCAGAAGCAGTTCTCGAGGCGACATTCAGTACGAGAAGTGATATTTTAGGCGATGAATATGCTACACAAGGCATGGCTTGGAGAGAGTTTTGGGCTACACTGCAGGATATGGGGTACAAGCTGGAAGGAGTAAGCCTAGCTTCGTGGATGGATCTAGTCGGGGCGGATATTGAAGCTGCAAGGGAGCAGCACCCGCTCTGGCCATTGAAACATGTATATGGATGGTTGCAGGGGAACGAGAGAGTCGCTGGTAGGGCTCGAGGAGTATCTGGTGATACTCCGGTACGGTTGAAGGTGGCTGTTAGGATGGGAGCTGAGTTCCTTGTCGGGGTTGGGTTTATACCCGCGCCTACGGGTATTTCTTCAAGGAACGGGATGAATGGGCAGTAGACATAGGTGGTTGAAGTTTAGTTAAGTGAACACGTAATTTGATGTGACTTGACAGCCAGTACTGGTTTTCGAGAAGAGGACGGTTTAGTGTGCAGTAGAAGAATCGCGTCTGGTACACTTAGCGCTTTGTAGTCGATAATGGGCTTGGGGTGGCGAGTTGAAATTGAAGTACTAGACCGAAGGATTATATTGTAGTGAGATCATTTTTGTTCTGGTATCTTAGTACTCTGAATGATACTATTACCCAAAGTTTAATAACACTGCAGTTCGCCTTACAACATCTCAATGTCACGGGAACCTACTCTGGCATTGGCTATTCATATGTTGTTTGAAAAGTGATGCGTATAAAAATTTTTTTGTTTAGCCTAGTTTCTAGAATACTTGTTGTGGTAGTAGCGACCACGAAAACGGAAACGCCCGATGCCCGCTAATTACTTCCATAGCATAGTGTCCAGTCGCCCGAATTGTTAATCTGAGTCCCTACTATGACGCTCAGAAGCTCTTTGGCATAAGCAGCCGCAGCCGCAGCCGCATACCCCTGCCATGCCTTATTTTTGTGCGAATCGGAATAATCACAGATTCCTCGAATCACCAGGCAAGGGAACGAGTCGACAATTCCAGCTGCTTCCATCTCGAAGCAGAGGATGTCATATTTGTCCCGCAATTTGTCGCGAGTCTTGGCGTCTCTCATTACACTGTTACCAGATGCGATGAGTCCATAGTGGATACGGGGAGCAGCAGAAAGTCGTGGTTGGCGCTTGACCAATTTCGCACGGTCGCATCTATCGCAGGAACTACCATTTATGAGGGTACCATGATCGTAGTGACTCGCAAAGAGGAGGTCATGCTCCACACCAGGATGCGAGTATACTGAACTCATATCAGGATACCTTTCCACGATTTCAGTGATATACTTGTCCAGGATCGGTCGTTTTCGAAGATGATCCGCCATGAGACGAGAAACAGCGGTCAAGAGCATATCCGGCGGTCGATTGAGAGATCCTGTGCGGTGCAACTCGCCACTTCGTACGGTCTTGCCAAAGTCGTACTGGATGATTCCCCCAAATGGCCCAGTCGGCTCTCCCACAACAACGTCCCCCAAACGGACGTCTTTCACACCAGGGACACCGCCACCGATACCCACCAGCAAGCCAAATTTAAGCGACGAGAAGGTAGCCATCATGTTATCTGCAACTCTGGCGGCAGATACTGTACCTATCACACCAGCTGGGAGACAGGCCATGACAACGTTGTGCGATCCTATTCGACCAAGTGTATAATTGTTCTGGTCGGCTGCATTTTGAGGTAATGGTGGGTGGATATCATCCAGGACTGCCTGGGCGGCCGCCAGTTCTGTCGGAAGGGCGCAAATCCATCCAACTGTATAATCTCGGTGGCTAAATTTCGCACGCTTCAAGGAAGGTTTAGAGGATATGTACTCTTCGGAAGACACCTTGATCCCTTGGGAAGTTAAGGCATTGTGACTAAGAGAGGAAGCCGCAGCGGACTCTGGTAGGGAAGGTGTAGTGGGTTGTATCTGTCCCCATGAATTAATATCCATTTTCTGCACAATGTCGTCCAGTTTGTCAATATGGACGGTGTTTCCGAAGCCTTGATGAAGTTCATCCTCAAGAGGCTGAACAATGCTTTCAGATATTAAATGTTTCAACGCCTGTTCGCTAAGCTCTTCGTTATCTGGACCCAACGCGATGTTAGGATCGAGGCATTTGTCCACTGCCTCTCGATAGTTGTCTGGAAATTCATCTTTGAAGCGATCAAAGGCGGCGATTGCAACCATATATCGTGTATTCTCATCTACCAACTCTAAATCATCACACTCCTGTACCCCAAATTGACTAGCCAAAGTATGCAGTGGCTGCACGACGTACAACTCTATGAGCATGACGGCCAGCATGACGATCTCCGGATAGGGATGTAAAGGTAAATCATCGGGTTCAACCTCGCCGTCCTGATTCGTATGTTTGGGGTTATCTACCGTCTCAGCCAAACTTGTCTGAATATACGGTTTTAGCGGTATCGCCGTGGAAGTACCGTAAAAGAAGATATTATCGGAATGGAAGTTTGAGGGTCGCAACCATGGCGTGCCATGAAGATGTAAGACGGAATACGCAAGAAGAACGGAAAGAACACGCTTCATCTTCTCTGTAAGACGCGTCGGTCGACTTTTTATGATATCTCTTAGCGAGACCTGGAGTTTTGATGTGTGTATGGGATGCTCGATTCGAAGTGAATGGTCTTTCCATAGTTTGCCATCCTCGACCCACAGATTCAAGCACATAGGTGGCATCTTTCTCAGCTTATCAATTTGTTCACAGAGTCTCACCACCTCCAGTCGACTTTCTTCGCATAGTCGCAAAACCTCCAGCCGACGGCGCTTGGGCCCATTCGCACTATGATTAATATGTGTTAACGCATCACTGATATTTGATCTCTCCTTCACAGGACTACCAAAGACATCGACATTGATGTGGGTTTCTTGCCAACTATTATAGATCGCACTCAGTGTGACCATTCCCTCAAACCTGCATCGATCGTGATCGTGTTTTCGGTGGGTCGCTATTCGGAGTCTGGCAGCGGACTGGTGAGTGTGGACTTGGGAACACGCTCTGGCCGAAGAGAAGAGCGCCTGGAATACCGTGTTGGCGCTCAGTGAAACTGAAGAAGGTCTGCCTGTTACCCCAAGCACTGTACGATGCTCTCGGGCAGGTGGAATGCTGGGGTGCTGTAAATGCAAAGCCGCAACACACCCGCGGAGCAAGAGGATGATCTTGTATCTTCGATGGTGACAATTCAAATCCAGACATCCCCAGAAGTGATGCATTCTTCGGCCAATGTCACCGCATAAACTCCAGTAGTGGGCCAATGTGGTCAATTTTGGAAATTGTGTTGATGGTGGAAGGGTTGATTCGTACGCGGGCATGACCGATAATCGGTGGAATCCCTCCAACTCCTTCAGCACCGGGTCAACCAGTGGCTCGACTTCGGCGGCCCATTCCGGGGAGGAATTTTGGCGAGGTGTGAGATACTGATTTAGAAGAAGGCAACATGCATTGAGATGACAGAAAAATATCCGCAGCTCTCGATGTTCAGAATCTCCAAAGTAGTCTGCAACAGCGCGAAACGGCTCGAGGCAGTCACGAAGAAGGTGGATGGTCTTCTCAAACACCCCCAGAGTTAGACAAAGCTTACTAACCTGAAGGGCACAGCGTATAATGGACTCCTCACCTGGATTGGCATCATTTGTAGTCCGATTATAGGCCACAAACCATAGCCAAGGCGCGCCTTATAGATCATATAGGAGTGGCAGTCGTAGGGGGAGATGAAACGAATAAAGAAGGTCGACGGTGAAGTGAGACTGGTTGATGCGGTGCGGGGTAGGGCAACTACTAGTGCAGCTCAGCCTCGCGCTTCCCCAACTCACCAGCTTCTTTCCTTCCTCGACCCCCAAACTACGCTAGACTTCTCTTTCTTTCTCTGCCGGCCGCAATGGGTACGGAGTCCTGGAAGACTGTAACACTAGCGGAATCTGCGAACCTCTGTCTAGAAACTTTCACCAAATGTCTCGCTCGGTTTGGCCATCTCACCGTACGGGACCAGTCAGCAATCGAAGACCAACTTGGACAGTTCTCGATCTGGTCTTCCAATATAGGGATCTTTGCAGCATCGAAGAGCTCCCTTGATTACCGCCTTCGCGATGCGTTTCGTGTTCAACGACCGCTTCGTCGCTTGCTCCGGATACTGAACGACCATATTCAGCGACGTAACATCAACTCTATGCTATATCGTGTAAGATAATGTTTGGCTAACGCAAGAGTGCTACAGTTTTGTCAGCGATAGACAGCCCTCCTGAAGTAGGAACGACTCTTTCCAGGTCATCTTCCTCTTTATCTGAGGCTAGTGACCTAGACCCTATCATCCAGGAAATAGCAGAGGAAACCGACTTAATACACAAACTTTCCAGAGCAATACCCAATGGGATCGGAGAGTTCCATAACCTAGGCACACCAGCCTCTACACTGAGTTATAATGTCGGCGGGGATGTCAAGCACTCACGCTTTGATCAATCTGACTCGGAAGTCATTCAAGATAAGTTCCCAAAATGTGATAAATCACTCCGGAACAGGCTGGCAGCTGCCATGCGGCTACGCCGAACGCGAATTAGAATTCTCTCCTGGCGCTCCCCATCCTGGAGAACCCCCCCTCATTATTCTGATGTTCTATCAAGGGGCGTGCCTGTCCCAGAATTGTCTCCAAGTCGCAGTCATCGAGAATCCCCTCCAGCACAGCCAGCATCTGAGGCCAAACAAGAAAATCCTTGTGACTCCTCTTTGTTGAGTCCGATGGTGCTAAAGTTGGAAAAATTGAAAGCAGTACACACCATGTCTCGTCTCAGCTGGGCGAACACATCATGCCGGAGAGACAGCGATCACCTCCAGTTCCCTCCCGCACCCATAGCATCGATTCTTCAGAAATTAACGACTCTCAAAAATAATCATATAACGACACTCCAGAAGTTCCTACAGGGGAACAACAGCTACCTTCATGGCGGTCAACCACCTATACCTTCATTGCCTAGCGAAAGTCACCGTGATCTGCCCGTAGTCAGGCTATTGGAATCAAAACGAGATCTGGAACGCGAGTGGTCAATCTGTACGGAAGGCGCCAGGGAGGTCAATTGTCCTTACTGTTGCTGTGCTCTCCCTAGTTCAGTTGCTATGAATCAGAAGAAGTGGATGTAAGTCACGATGCCTGAATTGACGTCAGGTCTATTGCATGAGAAATTGAGTTAAAGAATCCTAAGTGATCATGTCAAAGGCGACCTCGACCTCTATATTTGTTTGTTCGACCCCTGTGACTCTCCCTACAAGTTATACAATGGCAAAGACGAATGGTTAAACCATATGCGCCAACATAGGCCGCGATGGCGTTGTGCCGCACGGGCGCACGGTGTCCTTGTCTTCTATGAGAAAAGCGAGTACGAAGAGCACATGCGCCGAAAGCACAAAAGCATCCAACCACAGTTATCCATACTCGCGGAGAGAAGTAGTCGACCCTCTGGTCCTGTCTTTCAGTCCTGCCCGTTGTGTGGTGAAGGAAATCGGGCTGATCTCGAGGAGCACATTGCTGACCATCTTACATACCTTGCATTGATGTCAATACCATTGGCTAAGAGCCAATCCACCGATGATCACATGGAGATGGCTGCAAATTTGGATACCGATCATCTCCGGGCCGGAGGCGCTGGACGGACCGATTCCTATCACTCTTTTGACGAAAGTGAAATGCAAAAGGCAGGATATCCCTCTAGGCTCCCTGAATCCCCCTTTGCCGGATTGAAAGAGTCAAAACAAAAACAAACAAAGGGAAAGGCACCAGTGAAAAACCGTAATCAGGAAGAACCTCACAGGAGGTAATTACAACAACCCCTGTCTTTCTGTAGTTTCCGAAAGGCTAATTCATCCCAAAGTGAAAACACCGGATTCTTTCCCGGTCGGTGTCAATGGATGGGCTGTACTGAATCACATTTCTTTGAGGGAGAGGAGGTCCTCCTCTGTCATATTCTCGAGAGGCATACAGAGTATGGTTCTGCCTGTCCTGTGGCAGGCTGTGGGCAAAAATTTGCCGATAGACAAGAGTTTCAGAAACATCTAAGGACTGACCACAACGATGGTCTTTTCAAAGAGTAAGCTATTCTCCTCAAATATATCTTATCTATATTAACAGAAATGCTAACAAATATCCAAGACACGGCATCAGAAAGCCTATGACACGTTGCCAATGGGCCGGCTGCACTAGAAAAGAAAGTTTCGGACGACTCAGTCACCTCTGGGAACATATCAAATGTACGCATCTATGACATTTTTATCTTTTACCCGAAATAGTGGACCTGAGCATCTTCATGTGCTTGTTGTCTGGAAAGGGTATCTACTAAAATCCCTGTCTCAATTGACCCGCGATTTGATGAAACGTCGAAAAAAAGGCCCCGGATTATCCAATTTAAGGACTACCACTGCAAGGCTCTGGACCAGCTCGTGGATGATCCACCCCCAATTGTAAGGCTTATAAGATGCAATACACCTTACTAGTCCAAACTCAAATAATACGCTCATAATGATTTGGGACGTTAGACTTCCTGTGATTCCCACTGCCCAGTTAGGGATGCCGATCTTTGATCGAGAGAGTTTTGCAGGGCTTGGGGAAGCAGAAGCGATGTAACACGTTGAGAACACTGCGTATCAAGAAGGTGTATTTCTGATGTATTATTCTGCTCTCCCATCACCGAAAAAGCATTACAATCTTCCATCCCTCTCCATTCTCCAGTCCTCTTAGACCAAAAGACCAGCCCCCCCCCACCATGACCAAGAAATCCGAGCTTAACCACTTCCACGAAACCCTCTTTGAAGAAGGTAAAAACCTCCGCAGAACCGTAGTCAGAGACACCTACGTCGATAGGGCCCTAACCGAAGGATCCAGCGACTTTTCACGTCCCGGCCAGGAACTCGTCACCGAATGGTGCTGTGGTCACATTTGGACGAGACCTGAACTTGAGCTGAAGCAACGAAACCTACTGAGTAACTGAGATAAACTTCCTCTAGAGAATCAAACTATAGCTAAAAGTAGAGTCAGACCTGGGTATGTTGATCGCACTGAATCATACTCGTGGCGCTATCATCAACGGTTTTACCGAGAAAGATATTGGCGAGGCGGTTCTGCAGGCTACTTTTTACTGTGGGGGTCCTTCTGGGATCGAAGCTACGAAGGTTACGGAGAGGCCTATTGATGAGATGATTGCGAATGGGGAGTATAGGCGGCAATAGACTGTTTGTTGTTGGCTTTTGGGACTAGAATATTAGAGGATTTTAGTGTTTTTAGAATGATGGATGGCTTTGATTTGCGGATAATGAACGTGAATTAGAGAAATCAAGAGCAAAGTACTAGATTTAAAGAGGGCATACGACTTCTTAAAGGCTGGATCTAAACAACACTCTTTATATTTATCTTCGTTAGTCAGGAATATTTTAGATATTTACTGAAAGGCACAAAGAACTATCAACTTCTTATTTCACTGTGTGTCTTTGAGTGGAGGTAGAATAAGATGCGCAAAAGTGAGTGTTGCCTCAAACAGGTTGAAAAGGTGTACCCTATCGAGCATGTATCAGACAATCATACATCTTGAAATCTGTCTGGGATGCGTAAATCGGAATGTGTATATCAGTCAACAGAACACCCAGATCATATCATTATAACATCATCAACGCAACCAGAACCATCATGATTCTGCCTATATATTCCTTCCCATAATGGTAGGCAGTAGAAAGAGAGTTCAGTCTATGCCATTATAACCTTTCAATTTCTCTATTTCTTTTCCATGGTACCCTCCCATCCTTTCCATCAATAAATCCCCGCAGATGAGTCCCGAACCCTAGTAGTCATAGTAAGAATATCACCCAGACAATTCCAGGAGAACAGGCATCCATATGCAACATAAACGAGCTGCTACATAGCCCACGCAACATGGGAAATCGGGAGAGCAATAACGGTGACAACACAAGACGAATGCCACCTCCCTCTGCAGACTTCTTCCAACTTCATAAACCTGTCACCATGACAGTGACAGCCACAATATCATCAGCCACTGAGGCGTAGGCACTCTCGGGTTTTTTAAATAATCCCACTCATCGATCGGGAGATTGTGTACTCAATGTACCAATTGAGGAAGACATACTTCGAGTAGACCTTATCATGATTTGTAAGATATATGATAGCCATGCACTAAAGCCCGTGCTCTCGGACGAAGGTCTTAGCAGCACGGGTATCAGAAAGACTCGGGAACGCTGCCGCTTTTTCCTGGTATTCGAACCTTCCGCAGTGTATAGGGAAGCCAGCCGTTTTTTGCGATCTTCAAGTATTGTTTGGTCGAATTAATGATCCGGTGATGAGTGGCTCATGCGATCGGTAATGTATCTGATGGCATACACCTCCGGGGGTGTGAAGAGGCTGTTTTCAGTTACCACGGCTGACCACGCTTCATCTGGGATGAGGTCGCCTATGTCGAAGCACACTTTGATAGCATTATGTCTGTGCAGGTGCGTCGTCCCCGTATCAGGTAGACGGACGATATGTGACGTCGTAGTGATATGTGTATTTCATGTCTCTTTTATAATTGGTAAAAAGTCGGTCTTTCATAAATTCACTAGGCATGGCATCCACTTTGAGCAAGCTTCATAGACGCGGTCCATGGATTCTTATATCCAGGTTCACCAAAAGTTTCGAAAGATTTTCGACAGAGGCAGAAGGTCTGATTTGTAGCGCCTTACTACCTACGAGAGTGATATTTGCCTGCGGCTCTCGGTGGTATTCTTCGGGAATTAGGAGATCAGCAAGGCAAGTCATTTGGCGCAAGGTGTTCACCAAGTGAACTGACCAGCCCGCCACTGATGTTTGGAGCGACATGTTGCGCAGATACTCAACCCCAAATATCCCAAATGTCCCTGCGCTTTTCTATAAAGCATCCAGGGAAACATACTGCGACAAAGGATGTTGCTTGAAAGTGGCCGCTGGATAAAATGTGCTCCAGTAGAGACAAGCTTTCAGATGTTTCTTATATGTTTCCTCATCACTCCTTGACACCACCACCCATGGGGTGGAAGTAAGACTAGCTAGCTAGTTGGCTCTCCGCACCGAAGCTCAGAGCGGGTATATCAACGGAATCCTTCTTGAGTAAGGCCCGTGCAAGAGAGGGCTGATTGAGGTGAAGTCCGAATAGGCATTATATAGCTCATCATATTTCGACCACACCTTCATCCACGGAAGGATTGTAGTGCTGATTAAAGTCGAATCTAATGCGGCCAAGGACACAGCAATGGACGTTGTGCCCGTGTTATCCGTAGTATATCGTTATAACACCGTTCGTCGGTTGAGGAATCCCAGAATATCGCCGTGGTTCTCGATATTCCAATGGCGTTTGGATAGAGCTGTGGAACATGGGCATAGACATCAGACCGAGAGTGTAACCTGCGATGCTTGGATATCGCCATAAATTTGCTGATACCATGTAACACGTTCGACTGTCAAATTGGTGTCACAGATAAACGCGAGGTCGATAGTTAGGTCCTTCAGAAAGACTGTGGAATTAAGGAGATTGGCGATGACTCCTAGACCCTTTCCATTCAGCGATGCGATCGACAATGTTCGACTGGCTAATATTAGTAAGGAAGAACGCAGTCGACTCAGGGTCCGTCTATCGTCCGAATGTTGCTCAGCACACTGCAGAATCTGACGCGGGACTTCTGCTCGTTTTCAGGACAGGGGCTGATGCGTGGTATAGATCAGGTGCAATGAGCTCCTCGATATCGATGTTTTAAAAAGGCAAACAGCCCGACCCATCGTATGGGTAGAATGTGACCACCCAGCGTTTTTCTAAGTTTTAAGGCAGTTACCAGAGTGACATAAGTGAACATTCTGGCAATCGTCCATAGCACGATATTACAGCCCGCTATGCTTGTGACTCTGCGGATGGATGATCATTTCTGCCGCATCCGAAGCAAATCAGATGGGAGAGTGATAGAAAGCACCGGATTTAGCAAGAAAACAATGCTTGACCGGCATTCAGATTCGTGGAATTCCCGAAAGAGTCGGAAATTCGCAGATGTTCCTGCAACTCTATGAAGGCTCCACCACAGAGGATAGTCACAATCATACATAGTGTGTCCCGACAAGTACGGCACACTAGGTAGACTTCCATTATTGAGGTTAAATTAACAGGAGCAATTTCGACGATGTCGTCGACGAAATTAGCCTCAGGGCGTGAACCGTATGAGCATGTCCGAATAAGCCTCAATGGGCTAGGCGCCAACCGGATCATCCAGTCGATATCTATAGGGTCGAAGACGGCCGACCAGTGGAGCCTTGCTTGACTTGGCAGTATATCTCGGTTTTTCCGAAGCTGCCGTGACCGCAAAGCTTTGCAGTAGATATGTAAAGCGATTGACACTTGGTCTGTCCTTCGAGAAGGATCTTCACCTGCCAATGTTCGAGCTGCTGCACCAACACATCTAGCATAATATAACCGGATGCTGTTTATAGATGGTAGGAGTAGTAGGACGGGAGTGTCGTTCAACCCGCTCGATCTGAGCCTACCCCTGGTTGCCGTCAACATCTGAAGCAATGTGATGAAAGCGTACGAAAGATGCTCATGAAGAGAACACCACTGTGCACGAACACCCAAGGCGCGGTTACAACAGGCGCCGCGGAAGAAACCGGACGCGATTGCGCATTCAGCAAAAGGACCTTTGCCTTCACGGCAGCAAAAACAGGCGGCAGAACCGATATCCCCAATTCCACAGGCTTGGAGAAGCGCAGTCTGACGTTATTGATCGTTTGCAACGTCAGAAGCAATGACGATCTCTCCGAAAGCAATACGCCAAGTAAGACGGCGGACGGAAGCAGTAACACTGCAGTAGTGTTTGACGGTGAAATCAAGAACACTGGGAAGAAGTTGGTATTCCGAATCAAGTTCCAGGGGCACCGACAACACCGTCACTAACGTGAACATTGCCCTGGTCATTGCTGTCGCTGAGATCCTGATTGTCATGAAGATCAGTGTGCCTTATGGACTTCGCCGGGAGTGACAGGAAAAATGGTACTATCAGTGCGATTGTCCCCATCTAAATAGCTAGCCATCCATCATCTTTCTTCACCACTCGTATTTTTGCCTAGACTAATGAGGCACTTGTTGGCTCGGTGTATCTCGACGTTCTGAAAAGGACGTACTGTAGGGTGCGTCATGACACCCTGAAGGTGAAGAGGGAGCATCCAACTGCAATGTAGAACGGTATCTTGACAAGTGAAGTAGACATCTTTCATTGCAGCCACGACCATCGGATAAGAGGAGTGGAGAAATAGTTCATATCCAGCGTCCCCCAGATGTAGCCATGTATTTCCCAAGCAGATTGAGGGTGGTGAGTCTGACCTCTCGGATGGTTGAGTGGAAAGAGTAAGCCGGGCCCGACACGAAATGATGGTGTGAGGTAGCCCGAAGCCATTTCAGATATTGGAGCCTGTCAATGTTTAACTCAACCATCAAATTCGCCACCCCAGCGCAATATGTGATGACTCTATTTCCCTTTAATCAAAGTCAGGTGCTTGTAAATGTGTCAAAGGACTGTAATGTTGGCACACTTTCGTTATCATTGACCATAAATCGGACCGGGTCTTACTCAGGGGAATAATTCAGGCCACTGTTTCCCAGAAGGTATACGCGGGGGAAAGACATGTCCTTACTTCAACGTCCCGAGGACGTCGGCAGCAAGCTATAATGTGAGGTATCTCCTGGACTCTCAGTTTCTCGTCGCAATCGTACTTTCTGTTGACGGTTACCTTCCATGGTAGTTGTTGAACTGGTCTGACAATGTTGAACACCTTGCGGTCTCCTTGTACCGAAATGGATACAGATGGGGCTTTTCCGAAGTCAGAGCGCCCACAACTGCTGTTGGGTGGTTTTGACTGTCAAGAAGACTGGACGCATCTTTTAGGATATAATAAATGACTGCCCATGGATGTGGAAAAGCTCATTGTCATTCTTTCATCGGACGTTAGGTAATGGCTCGGACATTCGGTATTATCTTCATATTGCGTTCCGAGACCAAGCCCCCATGTCTGCCTCCTTGTCCGCCAATGCAAGTTTCAGAACTCTGGGACTTATTTTCTGTTGGGCCAAACACTCATTTGCTTCTCAGAGTGCCCACATGATCTTCCGACTGGGCGTCATGTCACTCCCGAGCACGCCGTGTACTCAGCGTGTTCAGGTACCTGTGCACTTGCTGAGCTGTGATGAGCATGTAGGGTTTTGTACCGACAGCCCCGCTGGCAGATGGCAAATAACCTGAACCCATCAGGCTTGAAAGCCGAATGACCGAAACCATATTCTCTCGTCTGCGTCATTATAAGAGACTTCTGACTGCTTCTTCATCTCCTTGATTGATGATGATCAGGATTCTTGTGGATAAATACATGTTAGCTGGATGAAACGTGCGTGTGTATGTCTTTGAGAGAGTATGGAACTATATGAATGCTCTCCAGAACTGTCTGAAGGGTGTCATTATACCGGAATACTTTCTTTTTGGCCCATGTTTGTGTCCATGAGCGAAAGCGACCGAGAATGGAGTTGGTGTGCGTATGGAAGATATTCGCAGAGGCACTTGTGGACCAGTAGAGAGCATCGTTCCCAGGACCTTGGGTCTTTCCGCAGTTCGGGATAGGGTGGGGAATTGTGAAAATGGAGGAACCCTATCCATCACCAGTGTGGAAATGGAATTGTCCGAGGCATGAGATACGACGCCCACTTCGTTGGGTATTCGTGCAACCTCGTCCGATGACATTCCTGGAATAATCAATTGCCCCTTGAGCCTAGTTGGCCAAATTAGCATCCGTTGTTTCCCATGACATGTATCTGCTGATGACTCACTTGAGAAGGATCTCGATGAGGGATGTTCAAAAGTCCATCAATCCAAGTACCATCCTTTCTCGCCGTTGTTGAAAGACCGTCTCGTAGTTTCTCTACCTTCCGGTCCTTTATCTGTACACAATGAGATGGAGAGGATGCTTCAGCTCATAGCCATTTCCTGGAAGTGGACCAGCCAAAAGTTTAGACTGGCACCGATGTCATCCATTGTCCGGGCCCTAGATACATTCATTGGAATGGTTGACAGACCAGATCCGGCTTCCACATGCTTTGCAGCCGCTTTCTTGGAATGAGAGATAATTTCGACGTGCCGAATGGTTCTGCTTGGACGCCGACCGTGAAGCGTTCACACTCTCGACTGTTCTGTAAGTGCGGTGCACATCAACAATAGCGCTTGAACCAATATGATCTTTTGTTGATTATACGGGATTGTCGAGGTATCTGGTGAGGTGTGTCTTGAAGTATCCCCGCATGTTTTCTGGCAAACGATCCTCTCGAGGGATCGCGGTGTCCTCGATCACTAGTCGGAGCTCAGCAGCGAAACTTGGAGGCTTGAAGTTCGCAGTAAGGGAATTTGGAGCATTTTCCATCTTCTCCGTTCGAATATGATGTCGAAGATTCTTGACCACGACGTTCTTCATGAACATCTGCACCCTGTCGCGAAGAAGAATTAGAAACAAGTTGGCGTTGGAACCCCCGGCGCAGGTTATCATCACAGTGAGGCTGGTTACCGGCATAAAGGGAATTGAGCTACTGGTAGATGAGACGAACTCACCAGCCTCCGAGATCACACTGCAGGCTGAATGTAGACGACAAGACTGAGGCCTCTGCATCGTACCATCTTCAGGGACATGCGCGGCCATGCCATCAATCAGACAGCGCATAATCCCAAGCACATCCAAGGGTTAGAGTGCCCCGTTGCCTGTAGGATAGATTTTCAGAATTTCACGACCTGGAGGTTTTGTTCGGCGATGCATCGGCACATCATACCCACGCGTCCGTCAGACGACGTGGGTCAGAGTTTAGTCTTCTCGTGGGACGAGTAGTCGCAAAATTGGTGATAGCGCTTCATCTCAAATATCTCTCCTTCAATAGCCAGTGCTGTTTGAGCCACACGAAATTTCAGGGTATCATGCTTCCGACAGACAGTTACTTTTGGACCTCGTCGCAGCCTTGGAGATTGTCGCACAAGTACTTGGCTGAACTGGAGTCCTTCGGCTGCGTGTCGTGCGCTTTTATATATTGTCGCTACTGTATATCGAAAGGGTTTCCCATCCACAGCCCGAAAGCCTCTGACGTGGTGTTGATAGCTGCGACGTCTGTTTCACGCCCTCTGAAGCTTGCCTTCATTGCCGGAAATCGGTCAGGTGTTTCGTTGGTCAGAAAGGGAACGCAGGACGATGCGCTCATGTCTCTACTGGACTAGATGTCGCTCTCGTTCGTATGGGTCAAGAAGTAGAGACTCAAACAAACCACCTGTTATTCTGCTTCTGAAGTGAGAGGTGAGGATTGATGTAAAAACATCGTCCCGGCAGCTAAAGCGTCCAGTGCAATGTCCGATTTCAACTTTTCAGCGTAATTTCGAAGAATGGCCTGAGAGGCAGAAGTCGTGGTTGGGCGATTGCAAATGTGTGTCATACCCGAGCAAGGCAGTGAGACACAACGGTATCGTCGGCTCCATGGACAGATATATTGAAGCACATATACCGCTATAGTGGTTTCGGAGAAGATCTCTTGTTGCTTCGATCCAGGCGATGGTGCGGCCGAAGCTGTGCTGTTTTTTCCATCCTTGTTGGCCAAATCCGCCGGAGTGGAGACCGCACCACGATCCAAGCCACAAGCTTCCATCCAGATTTATAGACATTTCAGATAAAGGGAAAAGGATATAGAAATGAAAAAAAAAAAAAAAAAAAAACATACAACAGAAGGGATTCGCTGGTGGTCACCCACCCAACTACTAACCTCCCGGCGTGTGGCTTAAGTACGGCTGAGCGGACGGGAAGCCCTGTTTTCCACACCCTATGGTCGTATGTGCTTAATTGCTCTTGCGATAAGCTTATATCATGCGGACTTGAATGACCAGTCGCTGGATGATTGGTGACCAATCCCAAAGGGATCTCTCAAGAGTTGGTGAAAGTATATAGAAGTATTCCAACAAGGTTTATGACACACGGGAGTATCGCAGTGATACATCCGACGCTCCTAGGCATTTTCATCATATTTGAATGCGGTCACACCTCGCCGATACGATAAGGCGGGAACGGTAATTCTTTATACCCATGTGCAATCTGTTGCCTCGAGTATATCGGGCCGAAGGTTATGCCAATTCGGAACGTAGCTGCCGCATAGACTGTCCATAGTTCGTGGAGTGTGCAATGGGACGAAGAGCAGGTACCCAGTCCACCTGTCAAGATAGGAGGTGGCAGCTCCAGATATCTCATTTTGGAGATCCTGACGTGCGTGGCCTCAGCGCATCTTGTGCATGTCGTAACCACCGCGGCGTGGTGCCCTTCCCTCAATATCGCGACCGTCTTATATATGCTTCGATAATTATCGGGTGTGATAAAGTAGGCGTAATGTGTCTCATTGGTGCAGAGAGATTGGTGTGAACGAACGATTCTTGGTCTGCTGGATAGTGGAAACCGAGACGTGGATAATCTTCCTCAGATATGCCATACCGAGGCGCTTGGATCTGATCCCTCATCGGAGACCGTTCTTCAGTTTGGAGGCCGCATACGGCCTCCGCTTCGCGGCGCCTGGCCTTTCAAAGATATCAAAATAGTTGATTCGAACGGAAAACATGTCGCCAAGAACATGTTAGCTAGCGAGCCACACCATGCTGAGAGTCAGCTTAATCGCATGAAGGCCGCAATCTGCTTTCGAGTGATTAGGGCTTGACCCCTTCAAGCCGGCCTCTGCGCCGAAGTTGATGACCCCAGATTTCGAAAATGCAAGCCAGAGATAGAACCCATCAGACCGCAACTGAGGGATGAGCTGGCGGGCATCCACGATGTTGGATAAAGTAGTATCGGATGGTTCTTCCTTCTTGATAAGCAGGAAGCAGATTGTCTGTAGGATCACTGTGTAGTCAAATGCCGGACTGTGCTAGGCATATTCCAGACTCGAACTTCGTGTGTGTCACGGATTTGCGAATGGCTGTGTCTGATCACTTCCTGGAGGCATTCGATTAGCCCTGCCTTAATCTCCCACCAGAGCATGGTACACACCGACTATGTCATGGATGAAAAAAACCCGCTTTATAGTGCATTACCTTATACCTGGTTTTCGACCATACCAATTGCGTCTTCGTATGTTTTCATGTTCGCGGCGTTCGGGTGGATTTTTGGGAATCTTTGATCCAACACCGAAGGATTCTGATCGACGCTTGGAAGACGGTACGTATCCCTTGAGATAAGGGGCAAAAGCCAATGCGTCCGGTTGATGGTACCTAGAATTGGTACCGCATATGAAGAGCCAAACCATCAAGTAAGTAGTTCGCCCCATTATGTTCCAGAAATTTGATTGCGGATGAAACCTAGCTGATTAGCGCCCTGTCTGTTGGTCCGCGTAGCTCTGTGGGTAGACCATGTATCGTGACACATTGACCCTTGCTCCCTCGATCTCCTGTAGGGTAACTTGCCGACCGCATAGGATGAGTAGCGCTTCCTCCATCTGCATCGAGGAATGTGCGATCGGAGTGGTAATCGGAAAAATTATGAAGTCAAGTCCCGCTCGTGGAAGGGACATGAAGCATGACTGGGGAGGGTGTAACCGAGTTACGTGGCCGTAGTTGTCCATGAAATAGTTGAGGCCGGAGCCTTCTCGAGTGCTCCCTTCGACCTTTCTCTCGCTCTGTGGCACAAGGCCAACCCCATGAGGCTCAAAGATATGGCCATATATTTGGCTTCGGAGCTCTGGTATAGGTATGTATATAAGATATTTGTTATCTTTTGATAGTGGTGCGCTCATCGTCCAAGGTCATTGAGCCTTCAGAAACCCATCTCGTTGGTTCGGACTTCTTTATACTGTCCAAGATGAAATGTTGATGGGACGATAGATCAGATCGTCAATTGGCTTTTGTTTTTGGTCTTGGTCTTGTTCGCATGGGAATGGATACCAAGGTCGTTGCAGTATAGCTGTTTCGACGGACGGATAGGAACAACGCGTAGATGTAGACTGCTGGATCTGCAGTTTCTATTCAACTTGCAAGACCCGACGATGAGATGTTTAGTGTATCAGACATATTATATCAGACATAGTGGTGGCCGGTAACGATTCAGGGAACACATGAGCTGGTTCAATTGCTCGAATCAGTCGTCAAGGCCGATAACACAGTCACGGAAAGGTAGGAAGTGTCTAGGTCCGGGAGATATTTCGCAAGCGATACTGTGTAGCAGTGGCTCCAAGCCGATTCGCAGTCCTCAGTCTGACTGGATCCTATCCTTTGAGGTTCCTGAGAAAGAGCGAAATGACGGTTATTGTTTTCGCTCCGCGGGACCGGCAATGCGTCCCCAAATTCTGTCCGAGCAAACGCGTGATGCTTGGCCGATGCTTGGAAGATGCCACAGATATTCTCGATTAAAGCGTGAAGCAATAACAGACAGTCATACCAGAGGTGGTTGGGTTCGCTCAGTTTCAACTATTGGAACGAGGTTTGGTAGCAGAAAAGCCGACCGACCCAGCACAGTGGCTTAATGGTGCTGAAGATGCTCTAGTGGCGCAGCCATATTGACTAAGTCGATGCCTTCAGTCCTGCCATGTAGACCTGGCTCGGGTAATCCGCAATCTTTAGCCGATAGCTCCGTGATAACCAGCGTGTATGATTGCCTGACGTCTGATAGTGTAGAACATGCTGGATGATTCTGGAAGCTACGAATAACATCTTGTTTAGAATGGACTTTGCAATAAATGCAGATTGTTTGAATATGTTCTTGCCAAGTCCGTAAGTCATCGGCAGCAACAGCGGACAATAACTTGTCGTCATTGACAAGCTGAATACCGAAGCGGTTCTCGTAACAAGATCTACCTAACTTTCTGAGTCGATCGGATCGCCGCCTTTGAGGGAGGCAGCATTGTGAATCTTGCTCAGCATTCTGAGCAATGTATAGCAGATCTCCAAGTTCTGTGGGCGTTGTATGCCGCTTCTTCTGCCCTGACTTGTGCTGACTGGAGAGTAATATCATCAGAGATTGATCACTCCCGAGACTTTCGTGAATAGATGCTTACCTGTTCAATGTTCAGTTGACCATGACATTGAAGCATGAATATACTAGCCACGCCACGCTTATATTGTGGCCTCTCCTGAGTATAGGAGCCGGAATAAGCCATGTGACGATCCTCTGTTTGATCGCAGTATAGAAGGACATTAATTAAGATGACAGATCCTCCTCGAGTCTGCGTGGCATGCGACTAGCTGAGAGATAGTAGTCAGCACGAAGCACGAAGCAAGATGCAGTAGCTTGTTCTGGGGGTAAAATCATACTGGATGGTCCAGATCTATGTGTGTTCGGCTCAAAAGCAGCCCCATCAGAGAACACAACAGTCAGAGAAGCAAAGAGGAAGAAGTGATAGAGAGATGGAACGAGACAGCGTGTGAAAATATCAACAACACACAGGTCAAATTCAAACAAGCCACACATGTTAAAGCGGGTCCTGTTCAAAGTAGTTGCTGCGACAGCCCGCCGTGTGAACAGGCAAAACACTCAGATATGGCCAAACTTGTGAATTTCTTGTGAGAGAGGCAAGAAGCATGACCTGATGAAGTACATATGCAGCGATGAAAAGATAAGCTGCCTTGCACCTTTAGCCATGATGTATAAAGGGGTAATCGTCAAGAGAAGAAGCATACTTTGGGAGGTGTCATGATGCCCGCCGTGCCCCATCGACCTAAGGTGTTGTTTCTTGCTTGTGCTTCTCACTAAGTGAGGGTGAAGTCAAGATTATATATAAAACATAAGAGAGTTGAGCTGCTTGAGAGAGATAGAGGAGGAAGAGAGAAAGGAAGGGAGGGAGGTAGGATGAGAGACATTTATACCCAGGCAAGAAGCCCTCTTCAATGACCAGGCGGTCACTGGATATAGCTCCGTGAATCAGCACATGCGAATTTGTCAGATACGTGACTGGGATATCTGCGTGACTGGGGTATCCGTGAAGTAGGCTTAAGAATCGTCACTATTAATGCGTGACTAAAGACGGGATGTTCCGCCAGATTCACGAAAAAGCCCGAATTCATCTAGGATACGTCACTACCAAGCGCCACGTGAGCACGAGTCACAGACTCGATAGAGAAACTCAAACCAGTTCCAATCATTCTTGCTATTTGGCCCATGGCCGATTGGTTCAAGGGGTGTATATCGCGATACTAAGGATAGATCTATATTCTGCCTTTTCGACCCTGAAACTTGGAAGGATGCCAAGTACACTTTACAACAGTCTTCAATACGAAGAATCGGATATATGACAGGAATCAGGATAATATTATTTATTTACAGGCTTGGATGGCCCTACAGGCCTCATGTGGACTATCAAGTTGCGACATGGAAATCGCTGGCTTCTCAAGAAGCCGGCGTCGATACTGCAGACATCGACCGGTAATCAAAATCCGACCTCGACACGATTTATCGAGTGCGTAACGAAAGAACTGCGAGTTGGCCCAAGCTCCAGTATTCTTTTGGAACATCGTATCGACGTCTCTGACATAGCCTAAGCAATCCGCACAGAATGCCACATTTTCACCGGAGCCTGTCCAGGACTTAGATAGTGCGGCTAACTCGTCATTAGCGTACTGGTTGGACGATGAGAAAAAGGAACATACCCCAGCTCAATATAAATATGCCGACAGCCACCAGGGCGAGTGGAATTAAACGGACCCTCATTGCGAGGCACGGACAGGCGTGGATCCGGAAAATTGAAAAGGAGGAGTGATGGATGTGGCTGCCTGGTGGCCGGCACTTGTGCCTGAGGGTCAGGGGGGTGTTCTAACCGCTTTGGGCTAGTTCATCGCTGATCCAGGCGATGGCCATGGATGCCGTTTGAGTGTGAGGAGAGAGGTTGAAGGGCCGAGAAACAAAGCAATATAGCATCACTCAGGAAGGGTGCCGCTGGAGCAAAACTGCCTTGGCCAATCCAGCCAGTGTGCAAGCCGTGACGGTAGGGCAGCAGTTACTGCAGACAGCAACTCCTGGGCGCGGTCCTCTACGAACCAGTACCCACGAAACAGGTATAACTGGGCACAATATTGCGCCAACAGAATAAGACCGATCGGGCTCTTGTCCAGCAAAAAGCCTACGAATTCATCCCGCACGCTGATCGGCCACATGTAAATGATGCCACATTGGGCAGGCTTCTCACAAACCTGCAAACGCCAGAATGCCTTTCCAAGACAGTCAGTGGCCTGCTGGTAGATGAGTCTCTCCTGCTCACTAAGAGGTTCTGATGCTATTAATTGTCTGATCGCATCTAATTGATCGCCCAATCCTGGGAAGTGCAGAGACTGGACATGGTCTCTGTTTGTCGGTTAGCATGCGTCAGATTACAGTATGGGGCAGAGCTTACTCGGGTAGGCCAGGGTCAGATCGAAAATCTCTCAGGAATAAAGGCGCCAGGGGACCGTTTTCAACGTGGGACATAAATGGTTGAAGAGTCATGATTCCCCTGCACAGGTTGAAAAGGCGGATTATACTTTCCAAGGGGCGGCTATCACCTAGATCGGTCGGCGCTCCACAAGTCCATACCATGATCAGACTTGAGAAGCAGAAGAGTGCCTCGCAATTCTGTTTGGTTGGGTTTTGTAAGATAATACGAAATGTTTGCAAGCCCAGCGCCATGTGGAAGTTGGAGCTGTTAAGATAGTGGCTGTATCTTTCGGGTCTAGTGTAGGCCAAGTGCAGGGCCGACAGCGACAAGATGCCATGCATGAGGAACTCGTAAGAATAGGCAATCTTCGGAACTTCAACCTGCCAGACATCACGGATCACCTCCCGATCAGACAGAGTCTTTGAGGCATAGATGCAATAATGGTGCATCAATTCGGGGTCCTGAGCGCCCCACTCGCGGAGAAAAGCAGATGCATCGGCGACTTGATGCTGAAAGGCGGCAATGGCATCGTCGGTTCTTGATGAAACGGTCGGCGACTCGGACAATTTGCCCGACTGCGTACTGGGATACGGCTCGGGTTTGGGTGGGCGACGTTCAAATGTGCACGTCAAGTGTCGTTTCACGCAGTTGGCACATGGCTGAGCTTCATCGCACTGTGGGGATCAGCGGAAATTCCAGGCTGGAGAGCGGACAACGCACTTTGACTCGCCGAGATTTGCACTGGTCGCATCCGTTCCGGGACTTCGTATGGGCTCGTCGCGGAGGCATATCGAATGAAGTCTAGACTAGATAGACTTCCACACAATCCCGAGAGGAGTGGTGTAGGCATCGGACGTTACTGCGAGGAACAGGAAATATACGACAGACGAGAGCGGAAGCGAGAACGAGAACGAGAAATGCGTGCCGGCGATGAAGTTTTCGATCGAGTGGAGAGGCGGTGGATCCGTCTCCGCCCTCCCCAAAGATAGATTGCCCCTAGACCACAAAGCAGAGTTGGTACTTGTTCCTATTCTCCTGCTTTGAACCCCACCAGACTCCGATCCCAAATGTCAGGCACACTTAAGATTAGAATAAACTTGCTGGTGAGCACTCGGCAACCCAACGAATGCCCTTCACGCAGGGAAGCGATAGCGAGAACGAGTCAATCATTTGAGGGCTAGTGCTAGTTTCATACGTATATACTATCCTAGGCTGATGAAAATAGTATTAGATCTGAATTGGTTATTATAAAGTTGACGACATAAATTATCCCTTTTCCTTGAAGATATGCCAAGTTACCCCAAAAAGGCTGACATGAGTCGAAAAATAGAGCTGGACGAGCAGTCATTTAGTCCATCGCATAGCATCCCCTTCATAAAGGCTCTTGAAAGTTGAAACACTTCCTAGAGCACCAGTTTGTCTCATAGCCAGTGATCTGCATGCCCGATGTCTTCATACGAGCTTTATCGCTACACCCCGTCTTTGGCGGCAGCAATTCTCTTCATAGCATTGTTCATCTTGATAACAGCCTACCATGCCTACCAAATGGCCCAGGCGCGAGCCTGGTACTTTACCTGCTTTGTGCTGGGCGGAATATGTTCGTGAAGCCGCATACGGACTTGCCGACTTACACTAACCTACACCACAGTCCAAATCATCGGATATATTGCGCGTGCACTAGCACATAACAACACTCAAAGCGTGCCCATATACGCTATGCAAGCTATCCTAATTCTACTCGCACCACCTCTCTACGCTGCGACGATCTACATGACACTCGGACGACTCATTACTCTCCTCGATGCAGAAAGATTGAGCCTTGTTCCAATCAGATGGCTTACGGCGGTTTTCGTCACTGGAGATGTACTATCTTTTCTTCTACAAGGAGCTGGTAAGACATGAACCCGATATTTATGTCCTGACTGTACTAATCTGGCTCTAGGCGGCGGCATTATGGCCAGTGGCACTCTCAGCGGAATGACCACCGGTGAAAACGTAATCATGGGCGGACTAGCCGTCCAGCTCATCTTCTTCAGTGTCTTTGTGATAGTTGCGACGCTTTTTCACTATCGCATCCATCAAAATCCTACGGAAAAGTCGACGTCTACATGCATTGCGCGGAGTGGGTGGCGCACCCCTAATTGGGAGACAACTATGGTCGGATTGTATATCGCCAGTATTCTTATTTTGATACGGTCGGTCTTTCGCATGATTGAGTATGCTGGCGGTAATGATGGGTATATTATGAGCCATGAAGCCTTTAGTTATGTTTTTGATGCGATGCTGATGTTCTTTGCGATGATTGTGATTAGCGTGCTTCATCCGTCCAAGGTTTTGGGTTCAGGCAAGGAGGTGAAGGTGGATAAGAGGGAGAGTGTGCAGTTGCAGAGATTATATTCTAGTTGAGATATCCACTGAAATAGATGTATAGAATGTAGGTATTTAGGGCTCGTTCGTTTCTTTTCCTCCCATGTGTTTTTGTGCCCTGCACTTTTGGTGAAACATCCTGCAACAATTGGCCAGGGATCTCATGGAATGGCCAGGCCATTCAATACAGCCACATTCCTCATCCATCTTCATGATGAATAGCTAGCACGTAGTCATTCCCATTTGCTTCCCGATCGTAGTGAAATCCTTCTGTCCGCTGATGCATCTTTGACAAATATTACCATCCCCGAATTCAATCCAGGTAGTGACTTGACCTCATATTCCATGCAGTCTACATGATTTGTCGTCTTCTCTTTCTTTTTCGATGTCGATCATTCTTCCCTTCTACACCACACAGCAAGTAAGCAATGGCTGCATCCACTGGTAATAACTTAAGGAGCTACGACACCCTACACCTACTATCCCCTCCATGCAACCATTCTATTGATTCTAGTGTACACTAGTACACAATCGGAAGACATTTACTAGGGGGCCTATAAGCAGCATCCCGTATTTATTGAAAGATACGATATGCGGCCATAAGACGGGACAATATATTGGTCGATTGATCAGCTCCTCTACTACGCATGGCTTGCTTCCTTTTACAACTCATCATAGCGGGGATGGCAATGTACTTTAAGTATAATAATACATTTTGCATTTAGCCAAGCCTATTTCATAGTCAGGTTACACCATTTAAATGATAATCTGGTCCAAAACCATCTCATGAAGAACGTTATCGGTAAAATTGATTGAGGATTATGTCCGCCATTGGCTAATAATCCCTACTTTATGCTGCTAGTTTGACTGCGGAGCCAAAAATAAAGGCCGCCATCTCAAAATTGGCGGGGAACCTTCGCAAGTCCTGCATGGTATAAATCATAATGAGAATTCCAGCGAGTGACCGGAATACCCCACAGATAGTGGTCCACTACACAGATCAATGGACGACAGATTGTCAGAAATACTAATTTTAGGGTTGAAGAACCCACCACCGATACGCCTCTGCATCAATATATCCTCTATTAATATCATGTCGCCCATATATGACCCAAAGTACGAAGGTCTCTGAAAGGACTTTCCAGCGGTTCCGGAGTTGCCAACCAGGCTGCCATAACTGCAGATAGCAGGGCAAGATGAAGGTCGATTTTGTTGATGTTGAGACTGCACCTCAGAGCCTAGCAGTGGAGGAGTCTCAGGGGCTGAACCAAGGCAGCGTCGTTTCTAGATCTTGTTCGCAATATGGGTATCTAGTACATGAGATCCTGGGCATTGTCTGGGGTTCGGATTGAAGACATAAATATCCTGTCGATACCTGGGGAAGGTGACCTTCTTTTGCCCTCATCTTGATGTGTCATGGCTGAGTAAGCACAGTTCCCGATCAACTAATTAGTAGATGCCTGGGGCAGGACCAACCCCTGCCAAACACCAAACATCATTGCAGGGAAACAGCGCAGTCCATGCCACGTCAGAACAAGGCCCGTGTCCTTTTGATTAGAAACATTCAAAAAGAGAGGAGGCTCCAAAATGAAGCGAAGTGCAGAGTATGCTTTTCCGGCAAAGGACCCTTGCGACAAGCAAATCAGATCTTGGCGGGATTCAATTCCTGACACTACTGCTAGCCTTCCATTAACGGAGGAGTATCTAGCACAGTTCAATATGGCGTCAGGAGTGAACCCAGTGTTCCCTGCACCTTCTAGTGTCACATCCACCTCTCGGTCTCGATCCTCAAGCCCGCAGAAGTTGGGCGAATCCACCTACCGCTCGCGAACACTATTCCGTGCAGGTATTTACGTTGATGTTGTGAACGTGCCTGAAGAAGTACAAGACCGAATCAATACCGCTCTTGGAACCCGCACCGCGGATACTGTCACCCTCTCAGATTTAGCATCAAAGCTTCAACAGAAATCTCTAAAACTCACCGCCGCTCAGGCCGGTGAAGCTGATTGGACCTCGCTCTTGCATGATATCATGGAACAGTTGATGCCCTCAGATCTACTACTCGCACAGAACAGAGGTACTACATTTGACTTGTATAGCCAGCCAACGTTGCGGAGCTGACAATGTGTCTACTTAATAGATTGGCAACCTGACCTAAAACCAAAAGTCCACCAACCGTCTTTCCCCCTGCCTTCTGTGCCCAGAAAGCGGCTATGCGATCAAGGCGGAGGTCAAGAATTAGGGTGTTCCCAAAGCAATATGCCTTCGGATCCCAATCCCCCAGACCCCGCAGCCCAGACTGTCCGAAATGGAGGGCAAGGTGAATTGCAGCTCGACGTTGTTCCTGAATCGAGTCCGAACAGATTGGCTCCAGCTTCGAAAACAGCATCCGGGCAAGCACCCATGACACCATTCTTACTGAAAACCCCGAGACCCGACATATGTGTAGGTATTGCGGATGACTCACTCGCGCAGGCATTACGATCTCGTCAGGTTGCAAATGCAAAGTATCTATTGAATGACCTCCAGGAGTTCCGTGGTCTTGTTAGCGACCCTGGAGTAACCCCGCTCTATTTACGCTTCCCGTTCTGCCTTGTCGAAGCGAAATCCGGTGCAACAGGCGGCAATCTCTATCAGGCACAAAATCAGGCTGCGGTTGGTTGTGCATCCGCCATAGGAATGCTAAAGCAACTTTATAAGGCGTGCGAAGTGCCGCTGGAAACCGCTTCTGGCCAGCTGCTTACCTTCTCTGCCTCCACGGAAGGACCTGTCTGCGAGCTCTGGGCTCATTTTTGGGACGAGGCTGACGCCAGCTACTGTATGGCCAACATTGGCATTTGGCGAACGACGCATAAAGAAAGTGCGTTTGATTTTATAGCTAAATTGTCCAGTATACTGAATTGGGGATCGTCGACTTTTCAGAACAGCATAGTGGAAAAGCTGGTCTGCCTTGGTGGTCATGATACCCAATTTGCACGAGCGGGTTCATAGGATGGGATTTTAAACCTTGTACGGTCTTAGCACCATAGCTTATGCGTATTAGTCTTTTATTGTTCCCATGTTATCAAACTCATATTCTTTTACCTGATCGAGCGCCCTTTTGCAGGTGCTTCACAGTTTGGAGCAAGGAAGATGGCACTGGACGCCCACAAATCCCATAACCTTACAGTGTACATACGTAACCCACAAAGCACATGGAACTACGTGGACTGCAGTATAGGAAGATTATCACTGCAGCTTAATATAACTAAATATATAATAAGAGCAAGATGTGGTCATACATAAAATTAAAACTATAAACCATTGTAGTAGCTGCCTGTGAATTATTTAATTTTCTCTTAGTTCTTCTTTATCTTATTTCTAAGATGCTTATTTATCTTGATTATATATATATATTCTTTTCCTCTGGCTTAAACAGGGTTTATATAAGAATCTTCTACTTAGCATTTTCAGCTTCTATTCAAGTCTACGTGATTATGGCTGGGGATGGGCTCTGCTTCAGACTGAAGTTTGGCCTGACAAACTACCCGAGAAAAGCCTGTTTACAACATAAATTCGGCGATGTAGCGCATCACATATACTCATTAGGCGACTCACTGATCACTGTCATAAACTAACTGCATCCCTATAAATATAGTATATTCAGCTCTGAGAATATCCACTACTAAGCTGTATAATTAATATTTTATATAAATTTAATCCTATCTTAAAATTTATCATAATCTACAGCAGTATTATAATAATTTATAAAGAGCTAAGGGAACTCCTTACGAGTAAAGATTTAAATTTAAGATTAAGAGTTAAGACTGATACTGAAGCCATTACTAAATTAGCTAAATATATTTATAATAAGAATTAAGAATTCTATACTAATTAAATTTATTATTTTTATTAAGACTATTATTCAGGAGCTTAAAAGTATATTCAGTCTGCTTATCAAATCTATTTAGTGCTCTCATGAAATTATCACCGCCTGTAAGGGCTCCCTGTTGGTTATTAGGATTCAGACGCAGTTATCCCCTCTTAACCACTGTTGTTATACAGTGCGAAATTCATCCATTGAAATTCCAATATCTCAACCATAACTGGATGTTTGTCTTGACATGCAGCCAAATGATTACATGGCAGAAACAGCCCAAAGCCTATTATATCTATCCAGGTATTATTGTCTTTGCTGTCCTCTTGGAGCCGCTAAACCCTGGTATTATGCCACTATCGAATGATTGTCCGTCGGGTAATAGTCAAAATTGGAGTCGGGAACGGTCGTTATTTACATCAATCTGGGTATTTTCACGGATATCAAATGACCAATCTGTTTTGGTCTCAAGAGAGATACGGGACAAGATACTACTCTACTAAGTAGTCTATTGTCTATTTGGGTGTGACAAGTGACGATTAACTTTGGACTGTTATGACAGGAGATCTAATCCCACTGGCGGAGCATATCTGAAAAGAGCAGAGACTGACTGGGGAGATATAGCAGTGGTCGATAGTCAGAAGGATGCATATGATGATAATAGGATTGTCAGAATTTACCGCATTAGGGCACAGTATTGCTCTGTTCCAAATCCACCTAACATAGTACTACTCAATGAGCATCAATCCTAATCGATAATGATCAGCATAACAGACCGCACAAGTAGATTATGCGACACTTGCTTTTATCACCCCACACCAGCTACCCCTCATGCTCATGCCAGCAACACACGAGAGACCCAAATGGCAAAGTCGCCTCGACACCAAAGCCCGACGCAGACAACAACATCGGGCTACGACATATCCGATGTGATACGTTTAGAGGAGGGAGGATTTCCACGGTTAAAGATTGGGAGGAGTTTAGTGGGGAATCTGTGGTTTAAATCAAGGGGGGGATTATGGGATGGTTATGGGTGATGACTGTAGTGGTATGCAGCACCGGAGTCAAAATATAGAAAGTGTAGGTGAATTCCCTCAAGGGGTTGGATGGACGATAAAGCATGGTAGTGTAATCATTGTAGGTCACCCTACATCGTATTCAACAAGCATTATGATAAGTAGTACTGGACATGACGTGAAAAGACGCTTAATGAATGGGCTCATATCACATGATCCGAAGGAGAAAAGCCCCGATAATCAAAACAGCCGACACCAGACACAATGAGAGATGCTCACACCACATGTCATTCCGGCCGCTGCCCGTACACAATGTGCACTTTCGTGTACAAGTGGTTATTCAAGTCGCGCAACTCCTGTTTCATGCCGGCGACAAAAACTTCAATCTCCGTTCTTTCCCAGCCCATCACGCGCGTGAACAGCGCGTAGCAGTACGGACCCAGCGCCTCGAACATGTTGACTTGGTGATAGCGACCGAGATCTTTCATCTTGGGGTCCTTCGGCCAGGGGCTTTGGGGGAGCTGCGACCGTCAGTATGGATATTAAGCCACAATGTGTCGGGAATCATACCTTGAAGATCTCTTCCCGGACATTGACGAAACCGGCCTTTTCCATCTTCTCCTTCCAGCTGTGCACACTGGTCATATCTTTTCCATACTCCCGAGCGCAGTCATGCATGTAGACTATACCCTCCAGTAGATTCTTGGCCCTTAAATGTGTATCGTCGTCCGAGTATGTGTTGACCTCCATCGAGGCCATTTCCATCCATCCTCCCGGCTTCAGATTCTCGAGTGCTTGGCGATAGAGGTTGTCGATATCGCGAACGCAGCCTTCTAGCTCCCGACCGTGGATATAATCAAAAGGTTTGCTGTAGGACCATGGTTGCTCAAAATCATCGACTTCGAATCGGCAATTCGGCGGAATCCTGGACGGTCAGCGGCGTGGACCCCAACGGCAGCTGGCAACACCTACCAAGACGGTTGAATGGGACTGAGATCGTTTCCTGCGTCATCCTGTCAGTGATCCACCATTCCTAGTCGTGTCGCTCATCGTACCGATCACTTCTGCTTCGGGATGCTCGCTGCCAGCACGCATTAGCGCTATTGATTGTCAGAGGTATCACATATCCCCGCTTACTCGGCATAGTCGATCGCCCAGATTCCCGTTCCGGTTCCAATGTCTAGTACGCGCGCGGGATTCTTGATGGGCGCTCTGTTCAGCTCTCCCTTGAAGAGCATGCGATAAATGTGGTGGCTCTGTTCCGGTCAACGCTGGACTCGCCCGTCGGGTTCAGAATGCGCCACTAACCAGGTCGAGACGATCTTGTTCTTGTTCATCATTGGGCTGTGAGATCAGTAGGGGCGATGCGACGCGGTTGATCGAATGGGCATACCAGGACGTATTCTCCCTCGTGGTAGGAATGGTATCTGCGACCGTTCTGCGACACTTAGCCGAGGCTCGAAGGGTGGGTGCGGATGGGTTCCTGTACCTCATATCTGGATGGGTTAGTTGTCGCAAGGAGGAGTGGCGGGACAAGGAGAACTTACGCATAGTTCATGGCACTAGACGTGATGCTGGTGGTGTAGCTGGCATCGCCCAGCCTGTGATTGCGGTCAGCGCGAACCGTTGGAACCAGACGTCGGGAAGGTCGCGGGTAGGAACTTACGAGCCGGGATAGGTGGAGTCATTGTCGCTGAAGTTCTGTGGTGGGGGGGTCAACAAAGTTAGAGCTGACAAGAGAGCAAAGTCAAATTGAAGTTTGGGGGAGGGAGAGAGAGAGAGAGATACGCACATCAGGTTCAATGACGCTGGATTCCGGGGGAGGAGGAGGAGCGCGGTCGGAACACATGGTGGATTGAGAAAAAGAGGGCGATGACGGGCGGGCGATGCGGGAAGGGATGGGATGGGAAAAATAAGTTAAGAGGGTCGTCAAGTCGCTCTCTAATGATATCGTAATAATAAGCAACGGTGATCGGATCCCCCACTCATTAAGTTTCAATGCCCCAGAATAATAAATGAATAAATAAATAAGATTTGTCGAACAAGGAAACAAGGTGCGAGTTTCCAGAACACCAGAATAAAGGGGAGGAGGGAATGGGGGCAACCCGGTGGAAGTGATTTCCCCAGGGCTAGACTGACTGACGGACTAGAAGCCACGAGAAAACAAGGAAGAAGTACAGTACCGAAAAGCAACTATTTCCACCGCACGATCAGATCGAGATTAGCACACCGGGGAAGACCCAATATGCGACCGGGGGGTGGAAAGGGAGTGTCTATACCTAGTTGAGTAAGGTAGAAGGGATTTAAGGTATGAGTTTGACTCGTAAGTGGTGGGATACGCCGTGATGGAATGAATGAATACTGGCAGAAGAGCAGAGTATTCGAGGGATAAGCAGGACAAGAATAAATGCCAATGGATGAAAATAGGTTGATGAAAGAAATGAAAAACAGAAAAAATAAAAGGACGTGCCTGCAGCCAACACCTTTAGATTAATTAAGGAAGCGATGAACCAGGCCCGAGGTCAAGCTGGTCAAAAAAAAACCCCCCCATGCGCGATGACCGTTTTAACCCTCAACCATTCGTCCATCGGTGTTCAGGGCCTGTAAGTAGGACTAGTAAGGACTAGTAGTGTGTACAGTAGTGCCCGAGAGGACTAAAACTATTGGGCTTCATTTCATCTTCCACCCTCCTGACCCAGTCAGTCAGTCCTTGGCCGACTGGCGGTCGCTTACGGAGATGCAGCAGGGCATCTACTGGCGAAGCAACAGAACAGCAGCTGCTTGTTGGTCCGTTTGGTTGGCGCTGAACGACTATCCATCCCACTAACTCTCCTTGTCCGCCTATCGGGGCCAGCCGGATTCTTCTCCGCCTGCATCGACTTTTACTTTGTATTGTACGGGGAGGTGTTCTAGTTGCATTATGAGGTTTGATTTCTATATTATTTATTTTATATATCATTTATTGGCTGGTTTAATCTCTCGATTTTCATCATATAGATATCATATACTCTGTGGATATCCCAGTGTATACACACATCTCTCGAATCTGCCCTAAGTAGTCTGAAGAAAAAAAGGAGAGAGCGACACATGGCTATCCGCACTAGTAGCCGACCTTGACTATAATTGATTGACTGGGTAAAAGTCCCGCGCAGAGCAGAAGAAATTGATCAAATACAGCATCGATCATCATCACTACACCTAGACTAGATCGACATTGGACCTGTTCTGCACACTCCCCCTGCAGCGAATCGCCATTGCAGCTCCAGCGGACCCAGAGTCTTTGCCCAGAGTCTATTTCTTGCCATGTGCCATGACCCTCGGGCTAAAGAACCACGTCAATTCCCTGAAGAATCTCTTTATGGGCAACTTGCCATTCGGAGGCAAGTTTCTCCTGCTGCTGCTGCTGCTGCTGCTGCATACACAAGTACTACAGTGTACTTTTTTGCACTTCAGCCTGCAGCTTCCCTGCCAGTGCCAGCTCTCCACGCATCCTCTACTCCGTACAATCCCTTCATCGGGTTTAGTCGATCGCACGGCCATCCGTCGCTGCCACGATCGGGGAATCCATTCATTAATTTGTATATCGGCCGAATGGAGACAAGAGTGGCGGGCAGCAAATTCGATGGATCGCGCACATCACATTCCCTCAAATTTGAACTAGTAGAAAACTATTAGATATAACTATCCAGCTCAAACCCCCCTCGGCTGCCTTCGTATGCCTTGCTTTTCTCCCGCCCTGCGTGGTTGATCCATTCCTCGCCCCTGGATGGTCACTTTTCTCCCTCTTCTTCGACCAACTGACCATGATTTTCCTTGTCTCTTCGTCTTGAATAATAGAAAAAACCCTGCTGCCCACCGGGCCCCTCAGACCCTCCAGCGGCTGTGGAGTTGCCTCCATGCCTCCACTCCACTAGATCCAGATTCTCACCAATAAGCCCCCCTGGAGAACTTCTTCGTGCCGTCCGTCCATTTCGCCATGTCACCGTCGATTCTTCAGGCTTAGCAGTCGGGTCCACTCCCTTCGGCTCGTCCCATGCTCTACGATCCTTCACCGTTATGCCTGCGAGTCTACGTTTTGAGTAACCACAGCACCTCGCCTGTCGCTGATCGGCCTAAAAAGTGTTCGCGCTGTTACCCTGCAACAGTGGCATGACAATGTCATCATCGTCGCTGCATTGATTATTGAATTCGCCTCTACATACTATCGACTGTTCCTGGTTACCCCAACGTCGATCTGCCAGGCAATAGACAGTCACACGTGGTTCTCAATATCGCAAAAGTCATGCTGGACGACAGGAAAAGATTTCCGATCGAAGAAAAGAACAATTCCACGTCAGCCATGACGTTTGTCGAGTTCTTCAGCAATCGCCACCCATGCCGATTAATTCCCGGGGACTAAGAATTTTCGTGCTAGTTTCTGCCTGGCACACATCCTGGTCGAATGAACGTTGATCTGGCGGAGATGGATGGACCAGCAGCTGGTTAGTACTTTGGTGCTAGCTACAAAGTACCTCCGAGCCCTCCCCGCCCGAATCCCGAACCGACTTTCCCCGTATTTCCGTGCGAATCAAGCGCAAAAAGGGTTTATGTGAGGTTAATACGCCTACATACAACAGCAAACGGCCAGGGATCGCTCTTGCCCAATCTCGCATTGTGCTGGCTGCGTATCCACTCACACGCCATGACACCCTTTGGCCCCTCGGGGTCACGCAATGCCTGTCAGCCCATCTCTTGTTCGCCGCCTCACCATCTATCCCTATAAGGATTGAGTTGCATCGCAGTTCTTTGTTTACTCACAGCCATATAGGAGACACGACGGCCAGAACTGGTAGCCACAGGTGTTTGCTAGCACCTCATCGGCGGTCTCTTTGTCAGGGACGGAAAACGGCCCGAACCACTGATCGTGATGGGCCTAACCTTAACATTCGTTGATATACCTTCATTTGCGGGCTTGGAATTGAAGGAATGCATCAAATCTCAGCTGATTGGACCTCCCAGCCGGCCCTCCTCATTTCAATAACTCACTGAGGTATAATTGTGTCCGGCCTGGATGCTCCATCAAGTCATTGCTCCGAAGTCTAAAGCGCGCACGCATCTGTGCGAATACGCCCGTCCTCAGGTAAAATCAGTACAGATGCCGGGATATTTCTGGCCAAATGTCTGGGATTGTGCTCGGCAAGGCTGTTGTCTGACTTGTCGTGTCAACGACATGCAACGGATTGCGAAAATGTAGTCGGAGATTTTACCGGCTCTGCTATCCCATCCACCAGTAGTAGCTCCGTATTCAATGGCCGGCATTGACGCCGTTTCAAGTCTAATGTAAGACACTAGTCCTTCAAACCTTTTCAAAGCAACGACAGTGTTGTGTTTATTTTTCGTATCGTGTACTCCGGATCACATGAGCGAAAGCGCTCTTTCAGACCGAGAACAATTGACAGCAGTTCATGATCTCCTGACCCGTTGAATTAGTGTGTATACCTCTAAGAGCAATTCCAATGACAAATGGTTGACAACACACATTGCAAAAAGCATTGCAGGTGACAACTCGTGCCACTCACCGATAAAGGAAAGAGACAAGCAAGGGATCCTGCTGGTTCCTTGGTTGAACGACGATCGTTCAGCTACCCGCACCCCACGAACCAGTCGGCCAACCGTGCATGTTGTGCAGCTGGTCGCATCACATACTAATTCATCACGCATACTAAGTACATCCCGGCATTTGCTACTCGAAGAAAAGAATAAACAAAAACTAAAAAAAAAGATAAAACACATATGCGTTAGCTGGGAGTCGAACCCAGGGCCCAACCTCACGATAATCGAATCATGGAAGGGTTGAATGTTACCGTTACACCACTAACGCTGGCAATAGTACATCTTTGGCACTTATGATATTATAACGTTATAGATATAGTTAAGAACAAAGCAATGAGTAACTTTCGGCAGTTGCTCAGGAGTATCCCCGGGATCCATGGATTCATCGAATTTAGACTATCCGATCACCCAGCGGTCAATCACTGAGCGGATGCCACGTCACCCGACGAACCGCCAGGGATTCATTCAAGCGTGTGAAACCCGAGACTGACTGACAGACAAGAGCTAGTCTAGGTAACTGTACAGAGTAGACTCCTACCCTTTTGAACAAAGATCCAATGCAAGTACACACGGAGTCGTATGACATCCTCCGAACAAACCCTCCCCAAGAAACTACCACTCAACCACACCACCCCAACCAAACGAACCCTCACGGACGGCACGGCTCTTATCCCGTGTCTTCCCCTGCAAGAGCCAATCCATGTGGTTGACAGCCTGTGGAGACAAGGCGGGCTACTCTGTGCCCTCGCTACGTACACTAGTCACTATCTACCGTGTACACCGTTCGAGTTGATGGAGAACGAGACGACGCTCATTGCCCAATGCGGTAACAGGTGTCTGGGCGGACTTTTGTCTTCCTTTCCTCTTCCCGTGTTCGACTAATCCTTCCTTCCACCCATCCCTGCTGGTTGGGGTATATCACTCTCGGCTTATTACGGTCAGATACTGCATGTTAAGCATGTTGCAGCTGCGGGTGACTAACAGCCAGCCCGTGAGAACTAGTTAACTGACTACAGTTTGTGATGAGTGAACATTGAACAGATTGTCGAAAGTTAACACCACAGTAAGTTAACTAGCCTCGGATAGCTGCTAGTTACCGTCGGATACCTCGACTTTTATTGGATGGACCAAAAGTTCCTACCAATTACACCTACATCATCTTAGTACCGTGGACTGTCAGCAGCATAAGCACGGACTGAAAGTGATGAGTTATGACAACCAAAAATCTGCATCGTCCGTGCACCCGCTTATCCCACAGACAGGATTCATTATCTCGCAGATTAATGCAGTACGTACTTTCATTAGTTCTGTGTGGACCAAATCTGCCGGTCAAGTCACGAGACTAACTCGACACGACACAACTCACTCTTTTTGTGATGGAGGCTGCAGCCCGCAGGATTCAAGATGCCGCGGGCGCGGACTTCTTCCGGTCT